AAACAAAACTAATCGACCGACCCGTACAAACCAGACCCCTTACAAACTCCGAACTCACTCCAAAATTCCAGACTCAAAACAACTCGCAAATCCCCCCTGCCATGCTGAGGGCACTCTCAGGTTCCCGTGCATATCAGGTATTAGTAAGGCCTCCTCTTCAATATAGGATCCTCAGAAACATCCCCGCTTCAACAATCCAAACTTCTTCGACATATCATATGGTACCACTTCATAGACATCACCTTCACGAAGGGTCCTGCAACCTAAAACAAATTCAAGGAACAAAGACTGATGGACTGACCCATACAAACCAGACTCTGCGCAAACTCAGGACCCATTACAAAACACTAGAACCATAACAACTCGGAAATCTCCTCCTGCGATCCCAATGGTTCTCGCTGGCACCCATGGATATCAAGTATTGGTAAAGCGTCTTCTTCACCACAGGATACCCGGAAATAATATGCAACACCGTCCTACCACTTCGATCTTGCGAATCTAGGTCAATAGCGCGCGATCTCTCCACTATTAGGGGGATCAAAACCAGCGCCCGTGGGCCCGCTGCGGCAAGATGAAAGGGTGGCGACCCGTGGCTATTCAAGAGATGAGGATCCGCTCCCTTTAACAGCAATTTGCTGATGGTGTCGCAGGAGTGGTGGTGTTCAACCGCTAGATGAAGGGGTGTGTTCCCGTGCGCATCGCAGGAGTTGATGTTTACGACGCGCTCTAGAAGAAAGCGAATTGTGGGGAGGCAATAACTCTTCAGTGCTCTATTCAGTGGCGTGCCTCCCTCATCGTCCTGCATGGTCGGATCGGCTCCTCTCTTAACGAGGAGCTCGGCATAGCCCAGGTGTCCATACTGCGCAGCAAACCCGAGCTCTGACTGAAGAACCCCCCGACTTTGAAATTCGGGGTTGGGATCCTTCTCAATTTCTTTCATGATTTGACAGGCCACATATAAGCTTTTGCCCCCCAATGCGGCTCTAGCATCCTGAGGTCGTACGTAGGCTCCAAGGGTTAACAGGGTAGAAACGGCATCGGGATGCCCCCCGCCAATTGCGAGGGTAAGTGGGGAGTACTTGTCCCCCCTTACTACATTAACACCGGCTCCCAAGCGAAACAAGAGCTCCACGACTGCAGCATGGCCGTTAAATGCAGCAAGATGCATTGGCGTATTTCCCCAGAAATCCCTAGAGTTGATGCACTCCTGGCCCATACTTTCCACCAGTGCTAATACCGTTTTTTCGTGCCCTTCCTGGGCGGCCGTGTGCATCAAAGTGGCTCCTATATGGTTTATGGGATACATATTGGCACCATTTCCAATAAGCAGCCGTACAACCTCATCGCGGCCCATGATCGTCGCTATCATCAACGGGGTTCCTCCAATGGATGGCGCCTCTATATCAGCTCCCTGGCGCACCAAGACATCAACCACACTTTCATACCCCAGTTCCGCGGCAATATGTATTGGCCTCAGGCCCGGAAAATAGGGTAAACCCCCACTACCTTCCCCCTCAACATCAGCCCCATGCAAAATCAACGTCTCGACAATCCCGTGATCACCGCTCTCAACGGCCAAACCAAGAAGCGTGTTCCCCAACGAGTCCTTCCCCCCCAAGGGGGCTCCACCGCCGACCAAAAGTTCAACCATCTCTCCCTGCTTCATTAATATGGCATGATGCAAGGGTGTTTTCATCTCAAAATCCCAATGCCCAATACCTGCACCGTGCTCTAAGAGAATACCAGCTACCTTAATATGACCAAACCGAACAGCCAAATGCAATGCAGTCAAACCACTAGTCCCATCCGCGACATCGGGGTTCACCCCATGCTTCAGGAGGAGTTCGACAACACGGCGATGGCCAGCGACGGCGGCCTCCAAAATTGGGATAACTCCGAGATGACTCAATCCGTTGAAAATCTCGCTCAACCTCCCCGCGGGCAAATGTTTCAGCAACAAATCTAGAGTTGCACTATCCAACTGGTCCTGGGAGTCTTCATCACAATCGTAGCCCGAGGGACCCCACTTCATCTGAGTGAAAGCTTCTTCTCCATAGAGAACCCCTGATCTCACAATCTCCCCTACCCTTTCAAGTCGAACGTGCGGCAGGGAGGATATCGCCCACTGGAGCATGGTGCAATCATTGTAGGGGCAGTTCCGCACACGAAGTTTTCGTGAGTTTTCCATTGCATAATCCAACAACTCCTCGTGGGCCGCATGCTGCGGCAAGTAAGGGGGGTGACAAATCCGAATTCCTTGTCCCTCTCTAATCAGCATGCTTAAGAGGTCCCTCTGCTGATGGAAAGCTGCCCATAGTGTGGCGTTGAGTGCATGTTCGTATCGGATAGCATAAGAATTGAGAATAGTTGTTAAAGCCGGTGCCAGGCGTCTGTTGCTCCCACGTAGTAGGGCAAAGACGTCCGCTGGGTCAGGGAGAAACTCTTCGACGATATAGCATATAAGCTCGTTAGGAATTGATAGGATACTCATGGTGTAATATCTTGTAATATCTTCAGGGGGTGTGTAGTTTTGGAAGAGAATGGGAGTTGGACGTTTAGCTAAAGCACTTCAGGGGAATATGTACTCAGAGACTCGCATGACGTAGACTGATTCGTAACCGCAGTTGGTGGTGTAAACTGAGTGAGTATCCATGTGTCCACACAAGTTCCCTCGAGAATAAAATCACATCGTGCGAAGAAAAGTTTTTATAAACAAAAGTTAATAATATTAATGACATCTATGTTATCCGTTACAAAAAATACAAACACCGGCATGATGCAACGCAAGGCAAATTCTGGGAAGAAACCATGGGATAAGAAAGGGGCGAAAGACAAAAGAAAAATAGAGCATGTGCTCATAGAGTCTATCAAAGAGGCGATGCGCTGCATCAAATCATACAAAATGCCGGCCAAATAGCCAGGGGGGGGGGCAAAGAAAAAATGCAGAGGATAATAAAAGTAAGGTAAAAAAAAAAAGCCCACTCAACAGCTCAAGAGATAGCCGGGGCGGCGGCGATATCAAGTATATACCAGAAGAGTACTGTGTATGTGTCAAAAGGGGAAACGAAAGGAAGAAACAGCTCACAACCTCCCCCTGAACTTCGCCGACCCACTCCAGGATCTCTTCCCTTTGGGTGCGACAACTTGAATATCCATGCAAGAGGTATACCACTCGGTATGCCCCTTCTTCGTAGGACCAAAATGATTGCTGTAATCCCAAACCCAGTACACCGTGAACGCACTTCCCACTTTGGCATCCTCTGGAAGCTTGAAAACACTCTTGCAAGCTCCACCGCCCCCAGCAGCTTTGCGCTCGCTAGAAATCGGAGTACTATTCAGTTCGGCGCACTTCCCGTCGTCAAAGTTGCTAGGCTTCGCTAGGAGCCTTCCGCGCCCATCGCCACCCCTTCCATCGACGGTCCATTGCTTGACGTTCGCAAGGGTGTCTTGAGGGTTTGCGTTGGCGGTTCCAAACCAGTAGACCATCCCTGGAGTGCCGTCAGGAGCGTCGGGCTTGGAGATGTGTCCATTTTCCAGGTAGGTTCCTTGGATGAAGTCTCCCGGGGATGCTTTTAAGGGCGGGAATTGGGCGGAGCCGTTGATAGAGAATCGCTGGCTGTCGCGGCAGATGTTAACGCCGAGTCCTGGGGTTTCGACTTTGTATACTGAAAGTCCGTCGATGTGGCCCTCTAGGAGAGGATATGTTAGCATATATTTCCTGATATGTGGGTAGCGGGGTGGGGGGCCCACGATAATCACGGATGTAACCAAGGACCCCACTTTGGGGGCCATCTTTGATGGAAGTGGCGTTTTGGGGAGGACCGGCATCAGTACCGGAGACAACTTTCAGGCCGTCAATCTAGCACACCTGTTAGTATACCCTTTAATAAGGATCAGAAGAGGTGAATACACACCCAACTATGCCCGTGGGTGCCAGAAATTAAAGCCATAACAGCAAGTCCGGCGAGCTTGAAAAGACTTCTTGTAGGGGCATGCATCTTGGATTGCCGTAGGAGCGCAAAAGGCGATCTTAACTGTGGGTATTTTCTTCTACTATATCCGTTGATATTCGTGAAACCCTGTGCCTTGTGTGTATGTGTATGTTCGGTGGAGGAGACAGAACTTTGTATCCAGAAGGCTAAAAGAAAGAGGAAATTCGAAGACCTCCAAAGACTCAAGCAGAAGGTCTCAAAAGTATTCGAAAAAAGAATCAAAAAGAATATAATAACCAAGAGCTCAACTCCGGAAGTGTGATGTGCGCACAGAGAAGCTGCAGGATGGTAGTGAAGGTAAAGAGATAGTTGGGGGAGGAGGTTGGAGAACGCCGATATATACCATCTCCTCCGCCGCCACGAGATGAGTCTAGACAATGCCTACAGACCTCAGGCGCAATGGCAGCCACGCACGCAATCTCACGCATGGGGACCCAGAACAATGGAACTAAGTCGATCGGTTTCTATAAAAAGGAAATAAAAAGCGGGAACGTACTGAGGAGGCTCATTGAGGTTTGAGAATGACCCGGTTCCGAGCATGAATGGCCCTGCCAATGCCAGTAGGAGGGGCTATTGCAAGCTCCATTGTTTTAGCAAATCCACGAATTTGGACTGAATGGTCAGCAATAAGTCAAATCCACAAGCTAGTTCGTAGGGTGAAAGCCCCATGAGGCGCCAGCTGTGGCGGCCGAAAATAAATACAAACTAGAACCCTAGCGGACGGTGGTTGGAACACTACCGGTTAGGAGTATCGCGTCAAGAGGAATAATAGGAACTCCCCATGACGAATGAGTTAACTAAGTTAACTAGCTAGTGGTTGGTGAAACAAGAAGGATGGGCCAACCACAGCCCCCACCACAATTATCTTTCTCTAGCCATATGTGGCGGGTCACGTCAACCATAATTCCTCAAGATGATCGACGGCACGGATTACATAGCGCCCGGCGAGATTCGTCTTTTAACGGGTAGACCTGGCCCTCGCTCCAAAGATCCGAAAATTCCGCATGAAACGAGATTCCCTACCCCTCGTTCCGTCCAATTACGGTGAATCCGCTTCCCGAGTGTCCCTCAAACCAAACCATTGAGGTATACGTTTAAGCCAGAGAAAAAGTATTTAGGGTTAAAACGGTTTCCACACGCGCTTCCCAGGAATCCCCCTTCCTCCCTCCCATTCCTGGCCCGTGGTTACCGGCCAGCCAATTACCAGCGGTTGCCAGCTAATAAACAGACTAGATGAGGGGGTGACCAGTCAATCGTTTCACAAAAAACCTGCGCGGCGGCTGTTTCTGGAGCCCTACCAGTCCGGTAAAGTCAGGTAAAGCCAAGAACCTCTCTCTTGTTTCAACTTGATTCCGTCCATCTCCCGACATGTTGTGGAAGAGAGAAAATTACCCATCCGGGAGATATGCGAGCGGGTATTTTTTTTTCCTCCCCCCCCCACCAGGGGGGAAATTGAATTGGTCTCATCATTTGGATCTAACTTATCCACTTCCGTATTAGCGATGATTTTGGAAGCGCGCAGTGATTCACTAACCGATTGGCTGATTGATCTGATTGATCTACGGTACCGGTACTAGTACAGAACCATGGATAGGCTGGTAACTCTGGAGGAAGTTTCGCCTATTTTCATCGCTTGGCCCATGCTACCTTGGCATGATCGCTTGCGTGAGCGAGCATATGATCGACTGCAGCAGGGGAGGACCCCACGAAGGGCAGGAGGAGTACCGTGCGGTAAGCACGCGAAAAGCTTCAGCCACCAAGAAGAATGCTACGGTGCTGCAGATAATACTCGTAAATTAAGTTAGCCGTCACGGCATAGCACCGACCACGCCTGTTTTTGCCCGCTGTTGCATAGCGAGCAATGGCTTTTCCCGCGCCCGAGCACGAGCACTCGTAGTGTCCGTAAATACTGGCACTTGCTCTACCCGTACCCCCAAGCGAAAACCACAAATTGGCCAGCCATCCAAGCCAAGGATCCTAAACCAACCATTCAGCCACCAAACACCAGTCTGCCGCACCCCAGCCGACTCTCCGCGCCAGTGTTGGCAGAAACCGCCACTTCCAAGTGGCCACTCACGAACCTGACCACGGTTAGTGGCGGGTAGTCAGTTCAATATCATATATTTATCCTAGCCAGGAAGGGGTGACCGGGTGACCGGGTGACGGGGTGACGGGGGGGCAGTGAGGGCCCGGCACCACACCCGGGGACCGAGGATACAGTACTGTAGAGAGAGCCCCCAGTCTATAAGTTTAGACTATGGAAGAACGAGTGAAGTACGATACTTAAATTAACTATCCATCATGTGAATCCTACAGAAATTATTGCTCCCAGCCAACTACTTTAACCCTAACCCTCCAGTCATCATAGCCAGTCATGATTCCCGTCATCTCGCAGGGAGGGGGTGGCGGGTGAAGTCAGCTTTTAGGGGTGACCACCCCGTCACCGCCACCACTTCTCCGCACCACGAACAGAACTCTTCCCCTCAAGCACCGCGGAAGCAAGTATCATACTTGCCAAACCCCTCCCACCCTCCCCGTCCCCGATAAAAATTAAAAATAGTCGAAAATCAAACCCCGGGTCAGGCTAGTATCAGAATGGCGGGACCCAGCATATTTAAAACACAATACCCGCCCAAACGAAATTATTAAAAAAAAAAACCCCCCCACCATCATGGAGGAGGAGATCCCACCCGATCTGTGCGAAGGGACTTATACCTGGCATGTTCGAAGACAATGAGCGGAGATAGGAAGGGGAAGAGATGTCTATGCTTAGGCGTACCTTATAGTGCCTTACTCTCTGGGCAGCATGGTTGTGACCACAAGGGAGTCATTACAATGGCAATATCATATGTTATGGAGCGTAAGGAGAACTACCGTAGGATATCCGGCCCCGCACCGCAGGTCAGTGGCTACCGGTAATTCCAGTTTGTCATGCCCCGGGCTTCCATTTTTGTCGCTTGTGCCTGTTCCTAGATGTAATAATTTGGGCTCCGGGTCTTTGGGGCCAGGCAGCAGCGCAGCAGAAGCGGCTGCGGCCCACCCGAAACCCATTGCGAGGCCGCTACCAAGGCAGTAAGCACTCACCCGTAGCCAATGTCACCGTATCACCCGCCCGCCTCAATACGCCGCTCTAAGCAGACGCAAAACCCGAGTGAGATAGCATGATTTCTCGCCTACCCGTCATCACATACGGTACCCTAGCCTTCGTTTGGTCAACTGCGGTAGTATCATGTCGTAGCTGCCTCATCTTTCCGATCCCCTACGTTGTACCGATGCTCACCTCGTAGCACCCGTTGACAAACCGATGCTCACCTCGTAGCACCCGTTGACAAACCGCTGCTCAAACGGCTACCGTATCTCGCGAAGCAAACAAACACCCCACCAGTTGCCGCCCCCAATCTATTTATATCCCGAGTGATGTTTCATGAACGCCATCTCCCCTGCACCCAGGACGCAACCCAAGAAAACCGCACTATGAACCTGGAGAAGAGAGCGATCTTCTTTCAAACGGACTTCTTGGCGGGATCGAGGGAGTTTTACCTAATGATGTAGCGTTTGAGGTGCGCGCGAGTGAACACCCACTGGAAATCGTGGGTAGTGGGGACCAATAATGAGACCCTCGGCGGCACAGGGGGGGGGCTGTGGAGGCTAAAGGCAAGGATGTGCGATAATTGATGTGATGGTGCGATAAGGCTTGTTTCTATTTTCTCCCCGTACCATGGCTCGCCGGAGCGAGTGTTGGAGCTTGGGGCTGAGTGGAAGCTTGTTTCTCGGGTTGTGTGACGCGTGGAGAGGGGCCGCGGAATTGGTTTGCTTGGTGTGGGTTATTTGCGTGGCACCGGTAGCCTTTGAACCCGGTAACGTAGAGTTAGGCTCCGTTTGGCTTGCTGTCAATTGAATCGTTCGTTGGTTTGGAGCTGTTACCTTGCCAAGAGAGACCACTTAATGCCTGTTAACTTAATTCTGTAACCCGTCACACCGACCCAAAACGCAGTTTGAATCAACGAACGACTCAATTGACAGCGAGCCAAACAGAGCCTTAGTTACCGATAGCTGATAGCTCCGAAGCGCTTCCCGGCGCTGCATTTACCGTAGACGGTGCGCCTAATTGTGGGGGACAGGAGAGATGGTTCACGAGAGTCATTACCGGTAAACCCAGTCCCATTGCACCCGCAGGTTTGGGTGAACGGGTGGCCACGGGGCCATTGGTATCCTGCGGTAACTCACTACCATTAAACTACAGTATCTAGCTCCAGGTTTTATCGGGAATGTTTTCCCTCGCTATCGCCTTTCCACAGTTATCCTGAGCTGACAGGCGGGATAATTCCCACCTCGTCACCCACTTTCAATTCCTTCTCCTTGTCCGTGTCCATGTCGACATACTCCAAGTTGACTGTGACCATGCAAGACCCGAGAACTTTGTCCTTCATCCTCGGATACCTATTGTCGAGAGCCTCAAAGAGCTCGGATAACTGCATCGGCGCTGGGAGCAATTCCCAAGATTTCTTTGTATGGGTACTCGCATAGGCGAAATAGAGAATCTTGAAGGTCCCGGTGGGGGTTCGGTTATGCTCTGCCATGTTCAAAACTCGGGGCGTTTGAGCGATGCTGGATGAATCTAGTGCTCTGCGGGACTATGAGAAATTACGGTCAGCAAATCTCGTGGGTTAGGGTTAAACTGCTGAAAAAAGAAAAAAAAAGAAAACAAAAAAAAAGCATTACCGGCCCGCATACCGGTACCGAAGAAGAAGAAAAAAAAATGATAAGCCGATTTTCGAGCCAGGTTCTTGAGGATCATGTTGTATCACCAACAAACAGCAAGCATCAACGCCTTCCCCTCCATGTTCAACGGAAGATGTTTTCTCACTTCAAAAATATTCCGGGGAGCACAAGTGGAGGTGGAACGGAGAAGAAGAAAGAAATCAACGCACACACCAGACTGTTGTCCGAAAAACTCCGACAAAATCAGAGAATTTTTCATCTTCAGCAATCATGCTTCTCACTTACTAGGGATTTTTCAAATTTTGAGGTAGCGGGAAGATAAGCGGGAGAGGCGAGAATTAGATCACTCTTTTCCTTTTTAAAATAAAACTTAGCATCTTGAACCGTTACCGGAAGTTCATGATACACCCCAGGTATTGGCTCGGGGACCAGCCCGCCAACTGATGACGAGCTTCAACCGGCGGAGAGAAAGGGTAGGAATCAGCCGGAGCAGGTGAGGAGGTACTTACCAGTAAGGTTCAACTTGAAACCTAATGTCTTTATTCGCGTTTGCGTATGGATGGGGATGAAGAGTGTTCGACGGGGAGGGGGGCGCGGGGTAATGGTTCAGAGCCGCAACAAACAAATGTACTGATGCTACCGGTATGAGCGCAACGCCTAAATGAGTCAGAGTGCTGAGAGGGAAGCGAATAAATGGCCGAGGCCAGCAATTCCTCACGTCTAAGACAAAAGGTCTCTTGGCATCAATTACTGGTACTGTATGCGCCCCGACGCGGGCTATTCTTCTCTGCACGGGAAAAAAAAAAAGACTCGATGCTTCGTTGCTGGTACAAATAAGGTTCTCGAGGAGTAAAGTTCAAAGTTCCCCTGACCCTACTCAAGTACCGTGCCCATAGAGCACAGTACCGGTACTTGTAAAGCGGAAGACAGTTTGACATTGTGATATGTCATACCCGGGATTTTGCATATGCAGAAGACTTCAGGCAATACCGTATAAACTTTGAATTGATGTATGAAGTCAGGATATCTCCAGTCGGTATTGAGAGGAGCGGGACTATTTGAGGGGTCGATAAGATAAGAGGGGGATGTTGCGAATTTCAGGAAAAGATGGCTTCAACCCCTCCGGAGACATGCCGAAGAGGTGCCGCACTTTCTAACAACGTTTTTTTCTTTTTTTTCTTTTCGGGTGTAACTTCAACAGCAAACCGCTTCTTTTCCTTTGTGTCCGCAAAGAATAGCTGTCGGGATGGAAGGAACATTACGGTATGCGAGGTTATCTCTGATAGCAAAATGAATTCCCCCCCTCCAAAGGTTACAGTATGTAAGAAGGAAGGAAAAGCCGGCGGTGTTGATTCTGAACCTCTCTTTGCCAATCGTATGCGCAAGTACCGGTACCGTGCATGCGTTCTTCTGTATACCCTAATTTTCGTACACCAGAGCCACGCAACCACCTTTGAGATACACAGCATCCGTCTGAAGACTTCAGCGAAAGACAAACCGCTCCTTCTTTTCTCTCCCCGCTCTCCTGATACCCAACGCCGCACTTGCCAGCACACTTAGCAGGAGGCGTCGGGACTCCCAGTCACCGCTCAGTGCCGCAGTACGGCGCCACTAAGTTCACGGTTCTCTCGAAGGAAATGAGTGCAACCCAACGCACGGGCTCGAAGAATGGGATGCGGGGGTCCATGAAGAAATATTCGGCAACACTAACCATTACAAGTACTCACGGTAGCTCCGGTGGACCAGCTCCACTCCACTCTGCTCCCTCCGTCTTGCACAAGTCTCAGGAGGCATTTGTCTCGGAAGAATGCATAATGCTCACGGCCTCTTTTTCCTCTCTTCCGTGTCGGCGAGAGAAAGGTTGCTGCGTGAGCTGTCCAGAGCTGTATGTATTACCTGACCTAGAGAAGCATACGGGATGTAGTCACTTGTGTGGCTTTCTGAGGTTCCCGAATAAGGTTCCCCGTTAGAAAAAATCAGATGTTCATTGGTGGGTGCCTGTCGCTTGAGACATTAAATTTTTTTTTTCCCCTCCGTTTATCCGCCTTCAAGGGTTGTTGCCAAGAGAAATTGAGCTGCTGCTACCAGTACCACCAATGAACTTGCCATGTCTGTCTTCTGCCGAATGTGGGTGTGATTTTGTTTGCTCCACGCAAAGCACTGTGAGAAATTGTTTGAAATAGTGAGTGCTTCAGTAAGGCAATTGTCGAACGAAAGATTACAATTGACAATTAGCTAGCCCCCGGATCCTCGTTAACAACACGGACTCCAGTAAGGCCTGAGATTGTTCGCGACAATGTATTTATTTCTCTTCCATTATAGTTTGAATAAAAGAGGAAAAGAAATAGTCTTCACCATCTTGAGCCGGCGCCCCTTGTTGTGCGTGGGCCTTTTCATGACCGAAAAAAGAAAAAAAAAAAAAAAAAAGGTTGGCTGCTAGTTTCGTCATCTCATACAAAGTTCCAATATCCCCCTCACCATACCCTCATCGACCTTCTGCTGGCCGGCCTTTTAGACCTTCTCTTTCCCTCCTTCATCCCTCCATCCTCTCTCCCTTCCTCTCTCCAATCTTCCAGCAAGCCAATTCATCATCACCACCGGCTCTTTTGAACAATAGCCTCTGCAGAAGGCCATTGAATCAATCACCCCCCATCGGTCTACTGTTCCATTGGTGAGTTACCACCTCCCTCCCTTTAGGCGGTGGGTCTTTACCCCCCAGTCCACCTTGGACCTTCCGGTTTCCTTGCATTATATCATGGCTTGGGTTTCCACCCTTGGTTGTATAAATATTTGCATCTTTCCGGTCTTTATTGAGCTCCTATATCTTGCTAGTACCTTGATATTCTGATTTCCAATGCTAAGGTCTTTCTTCAACAGGAGGCCTAAGAACGCACAGTCCAAGAACGCACAGCAGAAGACGTTACAGCGAAATCCAGTTCTGCAGGACCCAGTTCGGCCAGTGCAGAAAGAGCCGGTTGACACCAAACCCGTTGAAGTACAGCCTGCCGAGGTCAAGCCCGTGCAAACAATACAAACGGTCCAGCAGGTTCCGACAGTTGAGACTATACCTACCAAGCAACAGACACAACCCGAGAAGATGACGTCCTTCATGAAGAATTTGCAGGTTGGAGGTGGTGCTCCTGATGAGGGTCTCACCGTCCCCGGTAGTGGGAGAAGACACGGGAAATCCCAGTCGGCTTTCGTGAGTTCTTGAAACCCCTTCAATTGGACAGTCGGGTCCATATGCAGCAGATGCGATGATTGCGGGAGTGCTAATTCGGGCTTGTATAGGCATTTGACAACACCTCAACCTCAGTTGCTGCCAGTCAAATGAGGAATGCTTTGAATGGCCTTGCCGATAGCGTTAAAGACCCCAAGGCCAAAGCGGTAAGAACCCTAATTTCGCGAAACGAGAAAACGCTAACGTTGCTTTTACGATGGCTAGTCTTTCGAGACTGAGATGGATAACTTCTTTGCTTTGTTCAGAAGATATCTGCAAGATAAGGCCAAGGGTACTACGCTGTAAGTCTGATTTCTCACTCGCCGGTTTCTGGACAAGGGCTTACGCAGGACACCCACTTTACAGGGATTGGGATCGTATCCAGCCTCCTCAGTCCTCCCAGGTTATCCCTTATGAGACCCTTCCCAAATTCGAGGACCCTAAGCTCCTCTCAAAGCTTGCTGTTCTCAAGCTTAATGGTGGTCTCGGAACCTCTATGGGCTGTGTTGGTCCTAAATCGGTTATTGAGGTCCGCGAGGGCATGTCTTTCCTCGATTTGTCCGTACGCCAGGTTGAATATCTTAACCGAACCTACAATGTCGACGTCCCATTCGTTCTCATGAACTCGTTCAACACGGACGATGACACCCAGAACATCATTAAGAAGTACGAGGGCCACCGCGTAACCATTCACACCTTCAACCAATCGCGATACCCCCGTGTCCTTAAGGACTCCCTTCTCCCTGCCACTAAAGATTACAACTCGCCTATTGTTGACTGGTATCCTCCCGGCCATGGTGACGTTTTCGAGTCGCTTCAGAACTCTGGTATCTTGGATCGTCTACTAGAGCAGGGCATCGAATGCATCTTCCTCAGCAATGTCGACAACTTGGGTGCTGTTGTTGACTTGAGTATTCTCAATCACATGAGGGAGACAGGGGCGGAATACATTATGGAGCTCACCGACAAGACAAAGGCCGACGTCAAGGGAGGTACCATCATTGACTATGAGGGAACCGTTCGGCTCCTTGAGATTGCCCAAGTGCCCAAGGAGCATGAACAAGACTTCAAGTCCATCAAGAAGTTCAAGTACTTCAACACCAACAATATCTGGCTAAACCTCAAAGCTATCAAGCGTGTCGTTGAGAACCACGAACTCGAGTTGGAAATTATTCCCAACTCGAAGACTATCCCCGTCGACAAGAAGGGCGAATCTGACATCTCGGTCATTCAGCTCGAAACTGCTGTTGGCGCTGCTATCCGTCACTTTAAGAATGCTCATGGGGTCAACGTTCCTCGAAGGAGATTCTTGCCTGTCAAGACATGCTCTGACCTCATGTTGGTCAAGAGTGACCTCTACTCCATGAAACATGGCCAACTTATGATGGACGCTGCGAGATTCGGGCCCGCACCACTGATCAAACTTGGAAGCCACTTTAAGAAGGTTTCAGACTTCCAGAAACGTGTCCCTAGCATTCCCAGAATCTTGGAATTGGATCATCTTACCGTTACTGGCGCTGTCAACTTGGGGAGAGGTGTTACATTGAAGGGTACACCATTTTTAAATTGTGAATTTATGTAGTACGATAGCTAATTAGGTAACAGGGACTGTTATCATTGTCGCAAACGAAGGAAGCACCATTGATATCCCCAACGGCAGTATCTTGGAGAATGTTGTCGTCCAGGGCTCTTTGAGGTCAGTCCTTTGGACTCTTTTTCTCACCTTCAGATCAATTACTGACATGATTCCAGGCTGCTCGAACATTAAATCCGTTGATTTCCTCCACTTGTGGGGCGCACGATTTATATTTTCCTTCTCTACTCATCTTTTACTCCAGAAAAAAAAAAACACGAGCACCTAGGTAGAGTGCTGTTGGGTGCACCAGAACGTGGTTTATGAAGCACTACGCCATAAGTGTGTTAATTTTCAGGGGTCCTTTTCTTTATTCTAGATTTTCTTTTTTGACTATTTTAAGAGGGGGGACAAGATTCTGTTCAATGGGATGGGATGGTAATATCACGATATCATGCTCTCTTTTGTATTTGATCATTTTGCTAGCTATGGTAGCGAAGCTAGCAGATGTCGTGTAGCTTTCATCTAGCACTATACCCGGCTTTTATGGAAGGGGTGAGGTCAATACAAGGGATTACTAGATAAAGGAAGGGATGAGGCATGTGCTATTTATTAGAGTAGTCATGGTAGTTTATTCTCCCCGGAGCTCGTATAGTAATGGTTTTTTATAAATGGATGGTTAAGCCGGCAAAGTGGGCGGGCGGTCATGGGCGGGGTAGATAGATTACGCTACCGGTACTTGTTTACATATTGCCTCCCATATTATTGACTACGGCATAGCATATAATACTTTCAGGGTCGTTTTGCATTGCAGGAGGAGAGATTTAAACCTCAACCAGAGTGCTGTCCATCCAGCGTGCCATATTGTATTACCGTGTCACTCTGCAGGCGAACCTTTCCCGCGGTGAGAGAGTGGGGTCCTTGTAGAGAATGCCTTGGCGCGCACACATGCATGGCGGGTAGAGCCGAATTGGGAGTCCGGTAGGGGGAGAACGGGCCGCACCCGAGTAGGGTACTCGTACAGTACGATACCGTGTTGACTTGCCCACTTACTTGCCCGCCCGCGCAGCGCGCAGTACCGTATCCGATAGCCATGATTGGAAATGAGCGACGAGGGGGTTTCCCTCCGGCCCGGATCGAAACGTTTGACCGCATGGCGGGATGGATGGTACAGTACTATGCGGTACAGTCATGATACCGTAAGAATTCGTGAAAGCCATATTGGGGCTTCGAGTCTTGTGGTATGTGCGATGTTGAATGTGTGTGTATGTGTGTGTGGGGTTACTGGTACGGTACAGTACAGTAATTGCTGCCCCAAATGATATTCCGTGCGGTTTAAATTTACTAAATTTACAATTATAGTACTGGACCACCACTGCACTCTAATACGGTACCCTCACTATCAACATAATACAAAATCTCAACTCCGATTTCAGACTTTTTGATTTCCAAGGCTATGCTCGAGCACTACCGGTACTCGTGGGTTAGCTATTAGATACACACTAAAGAATTGACCCAGCGCAATGTGATGCCTGCTGGGGTGAATGGAAGAAAGATGGAGCGCAGCGTCTTGCAGAAGAATATGAAAAACAGCCAATTTTCCATAAATGGGTTAGAATGACTGCAGTAGAAAAAAGGAAAAAAGAAAAAAAGAAAAAAAAGAACACCGAACGCGCCGGATATGTTGTCAACTAGATTCCATGAGTTCCAGAACAATTCCACACAAGCGGAAAAAACAGGGATAGGAAAAATTGGCGTAACCGCGATAAGCATCGCTCATGAGCATCGATGTAGACCTTCCTTTCTCCTCCTTCGCCAACTTTTAAACTCCTCCATACCCATTCAAACTCCCCCCGGGCATAACTTCCTCCCTGGCCCCCTCAGCCTCAAGCCCGAGCCTAAACCTCCTGATCCTCCTGCCGCTCCTCCAGACATACCCAACAAGTGCGCACCCCACAACTACACTCGCCATCAGGAGTCCAAAATTCACCGGCCGCGGATCCTTGCGGAAAGCTCTTAAAGTGAGCGTATCCAGGCCAGTCTGCGATAAGTTCAAAAGGCCAGCAAGGCAGATAATGAGGCCATATACCTTCCCAAAGGTCTCAAAGCCAAAGACTTTAGCTGCGTAGTCCGATACGGCGGTGTAGTAGAATGGGCGGTAAGCCACGAACCCGATTATCCCGGCGATGGCGGCGGGGTACGAGTCCTTGATGATCCCGAGGCCACCGATTATGGCAGCGAGGGCGACGAGGATTTGAAGGATTATGAGGGTGGAGTAGCGGTCTAGTAAGTAGCCGATTAAAGGCACGGCAAGGATGCCGCCGACTGGCAAGGCCAGATCAAAGAATTTGTTGACTTCTACCGCACGGTGGTAGCTACCGAGGAGGAATTCGTATTGTGGGAGGATTGTCGCGACAAAGTAGTTAATTCTGATCATTTGGATCATGGTGAAGAATGTGATGAGTGCGAACCACCAGCTACATATTTGCCGATTTATAGGCATTCCGTGCATAGCGCCCCAGAGGCCACTGCTCTCATAGGATTCTTCGAGTTTCCTGTCGTGTGTTGCCTTCGCATCTTTGCCCCCGAGAAGTGAATCAATTTCGTGGATTAGGCTTGAGTGATGCTCGTGACGGAGACGGAGGTGGTTGTCGTCGTCGGTTTCTATACAGTCTCCGGTATCATGGTCTTCGTGGAGCAGTTCTTCCTCAACTTCGGCTTGGGAGACGAGTTCGCCCACGGTCTTGTAGCTCCCTGAGGGCATAAGAGTTAATTGCAGGATCAGGACTGTCACGGGCACAATCAAGTAAGCCGTGAACCAAGTGCTTAGAGTGAGTTTTCCCTGGGTGTGTTCGTAGAGGAGCCGGTAGAGGAGGAACACGGCGCTGGAGGAGTCAAAAGCCCCTGTGAGCATCGAGAGAATCAGGCCCGAGTGCGATGGAAAGGCATTCGAGAGGTGGAAAGAGGAGATGAAGATGAACGGGCCACCTAGAGCTAGAAGAAGATAGGATATTGGGTAGGCTTGGCACCGGAGTTAGAAAGAAAGGGCTATAGAAGGTGAGGGGGAGGGAAGCTCACGATCAAAATTGCGTATCTGCTCCGCGAGAGAAAAGCCTAAGCATCCGAGGGCAAATAGCATGGATCCGATAATCCCAGAAACTCTAGGCCCATACTGGTCTAATATCGTCCCAACTAGCAAGGCACAAACATTCGTGCCTACTGCTGCAAGAGTAAACATGAAGTTTAGTCTGTTCGGGGCACGTCATTAGCATTACATCTCTACCCTATAACAAGTGGGGGAGCGCTCAGAGAGCACGAACCGTATCTCCTGCTCGTAACAAACTCTCAAACCCCTCTCGATCTCCCTATCAGTGCATTTATCCCTGTAAATTCCCTCCTTGATCATGACGGGCTTCAACGCGGCATATCCGAACACTACACCAGCTGCAAAAAGGCAGTAGGCCACCGCTAGTCCAACCTGTAACAGTCTCTTGCCCTTGGATACTTCGAATGCGCCAATGGGCACTACACCACCAGGGCCAGAACCCAACACCTCGGATTTTCGCTTCCCGCAAGCACCGTGATCGGAATAGCCCTCGGTCGATACAGCAACCGTAGTGACCGTCTGGTGAGTTTGAGCCGAGGGGTGAAGCCGGTTCTCGGCAAGCGAAGACGAGAGGGCCGGCATCTTTAGGGTGTTCTATCAGTGTTGGTGGAATACCGTACGGGTTTACTATCCTGAGTGTGGAGCGGTGATTGTCTTGAACGAGTCCAGAAGGATTCGCCTCGGGCTCGGGTAAAAAAAAAAAAAACTGGCTCTTTGGGAGTGACGTAATGTATTGCGATTGTTTTCAGTCTCCTCTCTTCCGAACGCCTCGTGTCCAGTGATCCTCTTCCCCCTTCTCCTCCCTCACTACAGAGGAGAATGGCGAAAGAAGTGTAGAGTGTGAAGCGGAGAGCGACGAACGTGGCGAAACCACTAATGCTGCCAGTGAGCGAGGGCAGAGGATAACAGGCCCACAGAAAGGGATCGAAGCCACGGGGAAAGAAGCGAAATAAAATGGGAACGACGAAAATCCGCCTGACGAACCCTCTCGCTCGCCCCTCCTCCTACCTCCTGCCTCCTCCTCCACCCGCTTGTTGCTTGCTGCCTGCAAAAGAGAGGGACGATGCAGTATTGTTGTTGCTGGCACGTTGGAAGGGCATGGAGCTTCCTTCTGCGGTTGGGTAAACTGCCGTGCCGGAAATTGGCCAATGGGACGAAAGCGAGTGGAACCGCCTAACGAAATCCACGAATAAGTTACTGTACTCGAGTACTGTACAACCAGTAGCACGCCATCGTATTGTAGTGCTTCCACGCGAGAATTTGGGAGAGCTGCGGAATCAGGTATAATAAAAAAGAAACTTTTTTCTCTACCTTCTCCCTTTTCCTTTTTTGCCCTCCCTCTCCCGGCTTTGTAGAGATCGTGGCTGGAAATTTGGGGGGAATTGGGGGAAGGGGGCAAAAAAATGGACACACGCCCATAAAGGAACAGAATTGGCATATAATCATGATACTCGTATATACGAGCAGAGAGAGGCCAGCAGGTGGTTAGAAATCGCCACCAGGAGCAAAAAAGTGAAAAAGAGAGAGCACGCAAGCAACAAACCCCATCTATTGCAACATTATTCCCGCCGTCACTCAACTTTCCCACCACTCGATCGTCAAGTCATCGCACTCCGCTACAATGGAAGCCCGCACGGTGAAAACCATCACCTGGCCTACAATATCTGTACGAGTACTGTACGATACCGGTACTGCATGTGCTAGTACAGTATCCTCTAGTCTCCTCCATACCTGCAGGCTTCCCCGCTTCCCCATCCTCGGGGGATGTGGGGAGATATTCATTTTTTTTGAGCTCTACTTCTTCGGTAACCCACATTCGTGCCTATGCAGAGCTACACTGCCAGCTGCAATACCGGTATACAATTCTTGGGAGAAAAACTCCCTTAACTCACCCGCGTAGCGAACGGTGGGGAAAAAAAAAGCTTAGCCGTAGCCGGCAGGTGGTACAATTCACGGAAGAAAGTGCTGCACTGGTCTGGTGAATTGCGCAGTGAAGAGAAGGGCTCGGAACCCAGAGTGCCGCTTTTCGGTCAGGGGTAGCAGGCTCTGACCTTACAGAGGCACAGCTCTGGGGAGTGTTCTGATCGAGAAGGGTATTTTGCTAGTGCTGGTGGTGCGCTTTTCCAAGGAGCACTGGGTACTCGAGCGGTCTGAGGACAGCGCAAGTCCGAAGCTTTTCGATGGCATCTCAATTCCTGCTGGTTGGGTCAATTATTAGCCAGCTTGTGGACTGGTTTGTAATTCTTGGATCCAGATTAAAATTTAGTCGGATTCAAGGATTGAGAGAATGATTGCCCCTCACTACTCAGTACTGGATGTAGCCACTGTTCGCTAGTAGAACTGCTATCATACATGTACCCGACAACAAGTACGAGTACGGTACTCGTACTCGTACTTTATGCTGCTTCGGCCGATAGAAGTCTTCAAGCACGCTGCACGCTCACCCATTCTTCTCCTGTTTCCTCTTGGCGTTTTTTTACATGCAGTTTGAGCGGAAACGGTCTCGGCTATGGCTTTGTGTTACAGGGGATGGGAGTATCATGCAGTACGTACGGCACCGGTACTCTATTTGTTATACTTTTCAGAGAGGAAAAGGAAAGAAAGAAAAGAAAAACCATTCACTTCCTCAAGCTTCTATATTACTGGACGGGTCCGAAGGAAGTTTTGAAGAGATGGCGGACAATACAGAGTGGACAGTGCAGACAGACGGTGCGGAGAACGAGGGACAGCCGCCAAAACATTCGCTTGAATTGCAAACCGGTGAATTATTCATCCATGGCCCCTCCTTCTCCTGAAAAAATGCTTGATCGGTCAGAGCTTAGTCTTTCGCTCTTCCTTATCCATCAGTTCCATCGTTTGAAGTGTACTCGACTAGTGCTAGCACTTCGACAATATATTCAACTCCAAACTTACGCTCCTCAACCTCCAGACCACGAGCCTGATTACCGCCTCTCAGTCCTTCCTTCCAGTCCCCGTGCACGGTTGTAGCTGGTTCATTTAACACTGCACTGAAGAGGCTTCAACCGAAGCTACAGTGGTTCCAGTGTTCTGTTCTCTTTGCGTTGGAACATCAGGTATCCTGGTCTTGGTGCTTTGGGCTGTGTTCTTTCTGAGGTACGGGCTTCGTTTACATTGTTATTTTCCTTGGGAACAATTTTCAGGCGGTTCCCTCCGCTTCCACCGACTCCCGGAGATACTCTTGAATTCTGCTGCCCCCCCCCGTCCCCACATAGCGGTATTTTCCCCCGCTGCGACACGAGTTACATAGCTTAAGCCTTGCCGATTCCTTAGATGGAGATCGACCCGAATCTGACGGATGCCTCGGGGTATTCAGACGCAGGCCATAGAGGCCACAGAGGACAGTTCACACCTCCTCACTCCCTACCACCACTGGTCACCAGCTCTCACGATCCGACACTTCCTCTACATTCACAAGCCCCGGGCGCTGACCCCCTAGAATATTCACAACCTTCCCACTTGACGCCAATACAGAGCGCAGGCTCCTTTTCCGCGTCGCCGGCAGCACCAAGTGTGCAACAGTTACAGGATCAGAAACGGCCACGGGCATGTGAATCCTGTCGCGGTTTGAAAGTGCGGTGTGATCCAAACGCGGATGATCCTGCTAAACAGTGCAAGAGATGCGCCAAGGCTAATCGGGAATGCGTTTTTACGACTCCATCGAGGAAACGGCAGAAAAAGGCGGATACAAAGGTTGCAGAGCTGGAGAGGAAAATTGATGCGCTGACGGCTAGTCTGAACGCGACCAAGCAGATGGCGGCTAGGGCATCGCATGGGGAGGGTGATGAGGAGGATCACGAAGATGAGACACCTACGGAAGTCGTGGTGGAAGCAGCGGCCCCAACCCCGGTTTCGGCACGTCCGGCAAAGCGAAGGAGGGAGAGTGATGAGAACCGAGCTCAACAGCCGCTTCGAAGCGATGCAGAAAAGTACCCCGTGTTCTACCCATTCATTGCTCCCAAAGGGACTAAAATACCCGTGAGCACGTATATTAAACCTGCGGAAGGGAATGCACATCAGTACGAGTACGTGGATGTGATAGATAGAGAATTGTTGGGTATAGAAATGGCTAGGAAAATATTTGACCACTACGTTGAGGATCTGGTACCTAATTTTCCAGCAGTTGTGTTCCCACCCGGTACCACAGCCGATGATGTACGGGGGGAGAAGCCAACGTTGTTTCTCGCAATTCTCGCTTCAGCTTCTAGGATGAGTCATCCGGATCTTCACTATGCGCTGCACAAGGAGATTTCACGGGCTCTGGCAGATAAGATCATGATAAATGGAGAGAAGAATTTTGAGCTTGTACAGGCGTTACTGGTAACGGCTCTATGGTATTATCCACCAGAGCACGCCGAGGAGCTTAAGTTCTACATGCTCACGCACCAAGCCGCTGTCATGGCGCTGGAAATTGGGCTTGGCCGTAAGACCGTTTTGTCAAAACCACGGGTACCAGGAACTTGCTCGATGCCGGGTGCGATGCGTCCGGGAGAAGGTATTGGACCTTCCGGGATGTCGCATAGACCTTGGGTTCCTGGCCCAGGCGGGGCGCATCCTCCATCAGGCGATCGAAAATACGGGTTTCCAAAGCCCTCGCCAGCACCCATGCCCAGAAGCACTTACCCAGACTCGTCCACGCTCGAGTCACGAAGAACGTTGTTGGCTTGTTATTGGACCTGCTGTAATGTTTCTATGGCTTTACGAAAACCTAATATGTTGCGCTTCACACCATTCATGGCTGAATGTGTGCAGGAGCTGGAAACTAATCCTGGGGCGGAAAAAACAGACATCAGCCTTGCTAATCTGGTTAAAGTGCAAAAGATTGCGGAGGATGTGGGTAACGAGTTCGCTTTTGACCAGGTAGATGCAGTGGTCAATCTCCAGGAGGAAAGGGTCCAGCTTAAACTCCAAGAGTTCAACAGGAAGCTGAAGACATGGAGGGAGGAACTTCCAGAAAATGCTTGGCATCGTAATACCACGACTTGTCATGTATTTTATTCTTATGCTGACTTTATGTAGCACAATTGGAGATGTCTTTCCACATAGTTTCGATTTATACCAACGAAATTGTTCTTCACAATAACCACAATGTTGACGACTTCCGCCCTCCTTATGCTGAATCATTACTTGGACCACCACCAACTTCGTCTCAACCCCTTACTCCCCTGCATCTCAACTCAATCACAACATGTATGTCTGCGGCCCATACCGTGCTATCCACATTTTTCTCTCTTCCATTAATTGCTGCACGGTCCGTTCCAATGTTCAACTTCATCCGTTGCTCCTATGCCTGCGTCGTCCTATTGAAAATATACTTCACTGCCTCGTGCCCGAAATCGGATTTGGGAAAACACCTAGACCGAAACAGTCTTAAAATAACACATTTCCTAGATCGGCTGATCTCGAGACTGGAAGAGATAGCTGCAGATGACAAGTGCCGGGGCGCTAAGAAGTTTGTGGTAATGGTGATGATGCTAAAGACGTGGTACCTTCGACAACGCGCAGAAGTAGAACGTGTTTTGAGCATGCCAGTCGAGCCAGTGGCGAGTCTGTCCCGGCTTGGTCTGGGCGATAGCGAAATAGGGATAGGAACGGGCGGGACGTCAGGGAGCTTGGACACGGGTGGCGACTCAGTTCCCGCACATCTGCCAAGTAGTAACTACCCGCAGAGCCCCTCCACGGCCGTATCGGGATCTCCGGGCGTCATACCGTCGCATTTGCTTTCTGATACAGCGCTCGGGAATTCAAACACCAACCCCTCTTGGGAAAGCAAATATTTCGTGCAGCAACAGCAAGATCCGACACGGGATCCTTTCCTACCCCCTACGCCTCCACAGCCTCAGCAGCAACCACTCGGTCGAACATCTGCCACTCCCAGTTACACTTCGGCTGGCGAGTGGGCCAGTCCGACGGTGCCCCCGGAGCCATTGCTGTTCACAGGAAATGGGGAAATGATTGCAAACAATAACTTTTGGACTTTTATGGATGGAGGATTTGGGATGGGGATGCTGAATTGGAGCCCTGGATTTTGATTGGGAGAGTTTGTATGATATGATATTGCAGACTTTCTTTGTATTTCATTAGAGCTGTGTGGGCTGGTATGGCGTTTTTTTTATTGCCTTTGTTTTGTGGACGGTTTGGTTGTGTATAGATCCTGGGTAGCGATTGGGGAATGGGACGTACCCTGCCCCCTCTCTGTAAGGGAAATGGGGTGGGGTGGGAGGAGGAGAGCAAGGAGGGAGGGGGGATGAGCGGGGGCAGCGGAGGAAGATTGAGTGTTTAGCCAGGTGGGGCAGAGAGCAAAATAAAAGGCCAATGTATTACATGGAGGTGTGTTCGCAATACCATGACAGAATCTCCGGGTCTTTGTTGACGAGCAAAACTTTGTGACTGATAACTTTTTCGTAGGTAGTTGGGTTCCTCCTTCGAGCAAGCCTCACAATTGGGTACGGGCTGTGATCGGGTCGGGTCGCCCAGGTGGCAAGCCCAGGTAGCCCGAAAAAGCCTAAAAGAAAGCCCAAAAAATTGTCACTTATGTTTATCAAGTCACATGATATCACTCATACCCTCTGATGTTAAACACAAGTGCTGTGAACCCCGGGACTTGCGGAATCGGAGGTCTATGTTCGAAGTCTACTGGAGTAAGTTCCACTGCATTCATTCTTTTGTTAAAGTTTACTAACATGCTATTATCCTACTGTAGATAGTGGTTGAAGTACCGCAAAAGGAGGATCCTATATTGTCGAAGTGGGCAATCAATATTCATAACATACTGGCAATGTCTGCTGAACCGGAGAGAATAGTCTCAGGCACCAAACGAGCGATTAGCGATTCGCGACATTCCCTTAGTTCGGATACTATTCAAGCACTTCAATGTCTTCGAAGCTGGCAACCAATGGCCGGAGTGGGGGGGGGGGGGTCTCCGAAAGAGTTTACGAAACACATTTCCGAGAATAATTCTTCCTTTTTAAGCTGTTTTCTAGGCATTTCTTGGTTTCCTTCATCCAGTTCACTAACTCATACCACTCTCATGACCTGTTTTTCCTAGAATCAGTGCAACTTGAAGGTCTCTCAAGTACTAAAGTTAGAGTTATTGACTTCTTTAAATAGAGTTGGATTAATCTCTGCTCTCAAATAGTTTGGGCTTTCCAGGTGGCCCGGGCTCGGGTTGGGTTCGGGTCCGGCCGGCCATCATTCGGGCCGGGTTCGGGCCGGGCTTAAGGATTTACGGCCCGGGCCGGGTCATTGTGAGTCTTGCCTTCGGAAAAAAGTTTATAGCGGCCGAGTATCCAACCCTCATCTATGCCACATCTGCAGGGATCCCCAGGGCTCGAAAACAAGCTTTTATCAGAAGTCACACCTGTTTCGGGTCCCTGCCAAGTAATTATTACCCCAGGTTTCCGTCCCTTCCCTTTCTTCTTTCCTCTGGCTAGCCACGGCCCCACCTTTTATTCCCGTCCCACCTCCATTCTTTACTCTACACACACCCACACTCTCTTCTGCGACCAGATACTCCCCCCCTTTTTTTTGCTTAGCGCTAAAGCTTCACGACGGGCCAAAATGGCGCTCGAGCCACACTTGAACGAGGGTAACATACCATGCGCTCGCGCAGACTATCCGCCACAAGTATACTCAGTGGAACTTCTCGGGCAAGTCCGTGACGGTATAGGCCACTCCCCCCCCCCTGCTTCTTCCCCGTCAACCCAAACTAAAGCCTATCGGCCAGTCAACGAATCGCGCAATTATGCGCGCACCCACGGCTGCTCTACACTCTTGAACTACGAACCCGTATTCCTCTTCAACGACACTTTCGAGATCTCTCCCGTCCCGGGCTCTTCTCAGCTAGAGTACACGCCAATTGGCAGCGTTACCGCCGCCTTTGGTAGTCTTTCCAACCCTACCCTTACTACTTATCCCACTTACATTGATCGTCACCGCATCCCACAATTCATACCCTTCTCGCGCGTGGAGAAGGCAGCCGGAACAGACAGGGGTTGTTACATGACGGTATTCAACTCTGTAGTCCAGGTGCCCGGGAAGGAGTTCGGTGTTGTTTGGTTTATGAAAATGAGGGGCGGTACAAGTGGTCGGGGTGCCGATGTGTTTTGTGGAGTTGGGGTGGCGGAGGTGAGGATTGATGGGGAGCGCGGGCCGAGGTGTGATAGGAAGGGGGCGCTGGTTTTTGATGTAAGTCACACCACTATATTTCCAATCGGTTGGCGCAGTAGGTGGTTGACTATAGGGTAGGGATTCGGTCCAAGATGGGGCGATATCTCAACGGTCATTCATGGAGATTACATATACCTTTACGGTTCCGGTGCTCCAGCTTCTTTCGCTTTCGACGGAAGCTATAATGACCCGGTCCAGAAAACCTCCCACCCCACTGCCACTCGCGACTCAAAACTCGACGTACCAATCTACCTCTGCCGCGTCCCCCACCGCAATCGTGCATACTGGTGCGCAGAAAACTACAAGTGCTGGAATGGTGAGAACTTTGTCAACTTCCCGCAAGTACCCCAGTTTCCTATAACACCATTCCCCTTATACCAACAAGGGAGGGTTATACCCCGACCACCGCCAGTGTTTAAATGCGTCATGAAAAACGTCCAGAGCGGGACGATAATGCACTCGCAGCTCTTCAGTGAACAAGGACACTTTATCTTTATTGGATGCGAACTAGGTGGTGGTGAAAATAAGGAAGTGGTGATCAAGATGAGACTCGCGGATGAGCCTATGGGACCTTGGTTCGGCGAGGCTTCGCTCTTCAATCTCAACAAAGTGAATAGAGGAAACAATGGTGTCAAGTTTGGAGTCCATGCTCACTCCTGGGCGAGTAATTTGGAAAATGGTGAAATTCTAGTTTCTTGGACAGAGCCGTGGCCTGGTGGTGTTGAGATGGCAAGGGTTAAGTTGGTGATGAAGCCGAGCCCTATCGTTATGGTGTCTACTGCTAGTGCGACTACTACCACTACTACTAACGTTGTCCAGTCCTCGATACACAGTGAGGAGAATCCTAGGGCGGTTATTGGCGACTACTTTGACGAAGAGCCTATTCCAGAAGATCTAGAGCCCGAGCTTAAGCCTGAGTCTGAGTCTGAGCCTGGGTCTGGGTCTGGGCCAGAGCCTAAATCTGGGTTTGAGTTTGAGTTTGAGTTTGAGCCTGTGTCCCAACCTGAGCCCGAGTCTGAGGAAGACGAAGAGCTGAAACTCCGCAAGAGGACCAAAGCCCGTGACAAAGCATTGGCGAAGCTTGCAGGATCATACCGCAGAGAGGAAGACAGCGACGGTGATACAGAAAGCGTCTTTGACTTTAAAGCGGCCTTTCAAAATCTGTTTGGGCGTCCTCGCCCCGCTTCACCCTCATCCATAGTCCCGTATCCCTCAGGCTATGACCTACGTACTGCCATCCCGGGGGACATTACTGGTAGCTGGATCTTGAACGAGCGCGACTGTCGCTACTCCAATGTCTTTAATAACCACGACGGCCAAGATCAGCAAATCGCAACCCTCGGAAGGCAGCTCGAAGTCACTGCAAACAGTGACAACTGCACTAATAGTAGCAGTGCCAACTCCTCCCCACACACCAACAACCAATCCTCCTGGCTCAACGACTCGGACACAAACACCGATTACTCAACCTCCGTCCCCCCCACCGCCTCGCTAATCACCAGCGCCACCAATACCGCCCCCCAATATGCTCCGTCGGGTCCGAATGCGTTTCCATATCAGCACTTGCATGGCACCTCACCGCCCCTCCCGGGCGCCGAGACGGCCACGGAAAAATCCTTGCCATCGGTCTTCGACACCGATTCTAGCTCGCAGGCTTCCGACTCTACCACCGTTCCGAAGAAGAAGAGTCCCCACAGGAAAAATTTGTGGGGGAAGAAAGCCCGAGCGGAGGTGGGGGAGGAAGTCGGGGGTGGGAACGAAAAGAAGGGATGGAAGAATAGCATTAAGAAGAGTGCTATTGCGAAGTTCTTGAGGGGTGGGGTTTAAGCAATTTGGTCCCTGATAAGGTTATGTATGTAGACAAGTAGATAGATTGTTTATTTATCTATTTATATGTGCGGACGTGGGGAGGAGATCTGTGACCGCTTGAACGGCAGCTTACATATCTGATCACACACTCTCTCTCACAAAGTCCAGGGAAACAATTCCTATCATACCCACTTTTCTTTTCTTTTCTTTTCTTTTACTGATATACAATTTCGCATGAACATGATTGCAGATATAAAGTGACGGAGGAGCAAAAAAAGAAAAAGAGAAAAACCCCCAGCAAGAATAGAATAGGAGTTGTGATCGGAAAAGGTGGGAAGAAATAGAGAAAGATAAAATGCTGTCTATATATAGAGTTTTAGAAAGAGCTATAATGCCATATTTATTTCTTTCTTAAGCTCCCATCATAAAATGCTCGTACTTATTATCTCTCTTTACACTAATATATACTATCGTTCCCTCATTTCAGCCTCTAATTACCGAGTTGGACGGACGCAACTCTCCAAGTATCGCAGGGGCATAATGTCACATTTCAGCTCATTACTACATTTTTTATGTTTTTTCATTTTCATTTTTCACCTGGGGGTTCTAACGCAACGCAACTCTAGCTGGTATATGTGATAGCTGTGAAGATATGGTGTGACGCATCATTCTGGAGGGTTTGTAAGAGTGAGCCTCGTTCTTTCTTTCGAATTATGTTAATATAGATATGCTTCCTTCCCCCCTGAAAAAAAAAAAAACTCCCCGAGGTTGAGGACATCATGGTCCATCACTCGGAAATTGGAGAGATTAATTTAGTCCCTGCCCTGCAACCTGTGTTAATGGTTGCCACCACCGGATGATGTGAAGATCTCACGTCTACTGCTGAGCTGTCGGGTATTTTATTTTTATTTTTATTTTTTTTGAACTACTCGTACTTTTACTCTTTTCCCCTGCCCGTCCGGCGCTATTACACCTTCCGGGTACGATGCATGCTATCATACATTTCTGCCACATGTTTCGCAATATATCCGACCAGCAAGACATCCCGCAGCATAAAATCTCCACCCAGTTTTTTTTTTTTGGCGACATATCATACGGTACCGGATGAGAAGCGTGCCACCACCACCACGTAAGCATCAATAGTCCAATACTTCTTCCGGTCCATCAGTTATATTTGGGACTGATCTAGATGGAGAAAAACACAGCCTGAAGGTTAATGGTTTCCGACCCCTGGAGAGGTGATTGGTTGTCTATTCGTTAGTCTAGCGATATCGTAGCAGGGTGATAAAATACCCGTGAAAAATTGAATAATTGGAACGGTGTGCTATGTAGTCCGGAATTTCCTTCTCTGGAAGGTGGGCGGGGGGGAGAAAAACACAGCCCCTCTTCCTCCCCCGGCAAGACAGAAAAAATAAATTAATTAATTTCTGGACTTTACTGAGAGAGGAAGACGCGACGGCATAGCATACCGTCTAATTGTTCAAGCTTCTACGGTACTAGTACATCGTTGGATAATTTATGGATTTGTGATCGTGTGGTGGGGAGTGAAAATGTATATTCCCCGGCGGTAAGAGTTGTCGCGTTTGTTATTTCTTGGCTAACTAACTGTCATAAGGGGAAAAAAAATGTAGGGGTACCGTAGATATTATGTATCCCCCATAGCCACCTTTTTTCCAAGGCCTTTTCTGGTTATAGTACTTTGCTGGCGTCTATTAATATCATACCCGGAAACATGGTAGCCATTGGTAGGCTATGGAAGGGGGGGTTAGGAATCGGAAGGCAGCCTTGATGTGTGATCCTCACTTGGTGGGCTCATACTGTAGCAGGTCGGTGAACTACTAGCGGAGTCACAGAGACTAGAATATATCCCATCATACAGAGCTCCAGGGTGAAAAAAAGTTCGATAGCATGACCGGCGAATTCCATCTTTCTGGAGGATTAATTAAACCCAAGATCCCTCTCCTCCTCCTGCTCTTCTACTTCTATCAAATATCTACGAGTATCATACATACAAACCCACCCCGGCTCCGAGTTGGACTACGGTTATCACCCCTCGGCCTTTGAGCTCCCACAATCAATCATGCAAAACATGAAATGACCGACGGGGTGGGTGATTCCGCAGTGGAATAAAAGAATACACCCAAACCCCCCCCCCCTATCACACCAGGCAGCACTATGAACACAGTGCACCAACCAACGCGTACGCAGTGAAAATAACAAAAGTTACTACGGTACCCTCCCTAGTACTACCGCTATCGTAGCTAATAAGTTAGGTATCCAATCGACAAGACATTCCACGCAAAACACCATATATCCCCACCACACAGAACGGGAGAAGAGACGGAACAAAACGAGAAAAGCGCAATCCACCCCCCTCTTCCAAAAACCCTACGATACAAACAACTCAATACCAGAAGGTACGCCATAACGTCCCCTTCTCTTGCATTTATTCATTCATTCAAACTTATCTTGAGCGATTAAGCCACGTCCGAAACCACGCGCCGTACCAGTGGCCCGTACAGTACAGTAAAGTACAGTACAGTACTCCAACATCACGCTCCAACCCAGTCGTTGACTCGATCGCTCAAAACCTGGAAGATAGCGGAAAAGGACTAATTTATACACAGTGCCCTGTCTTCTGGTCTGGTTGTCCGAATGATGAATTGTGATCTGTGTCCTGTTTATGGTGTGCAATACCTGCCAGAACGGGACAACATTCTTTTCTTTCTCTGGGACGTTATATGGGTGCTGATATGCGAAAACTGGGCAAATCTACAACTGCAACAAATTTCCTTCAATGCATATCATACTTCTTAAACATAAGGAGCATCATCTCAAGAGCTTAAAAAATATTTGTCAGTTAAATTGGACTCTTTATAAGCTTTATAATTCATCAGATGGGTGCTGATATGTGAAAACTAGGTAAATCTACAACTGCAACAAATTTCCTTTAGTGCATATCATACTCCTTAAAGATAAAGAGCATCACCTGAAGAGCTTAAAAAATATTTGTCAGTTAAATTGGACTCTTTATAAGCTTTATGGTTCATCAGATCTAAAATTGTTGTGGTTGTCATGCAAACTTCAAAGTGTTATAACTCAAAACCAGGTTAAAGGTGTCTGCCCAGTTTTCGCATATCAACACCCATATTATCTCATCTGTGTTGTGCTGGGGGGTTGGCGGGCTGGGGTTTTGGGAATATTTTGGTGATATGCTTATCGGGGGTAGGTTAAGCCCTAGTGGTGTTCCTATTGGAGCAGAGAGGGGTATCTGCGGAATGAGTTTTTTCTTCTTTTCACTAATTTTACCACCGTGGGAATCTTGGGGTGTGCGTGAGAGAGAGGGGGGTGGGTTACAGCGTAGTGCAGGAAAGGTAACGCATCTTGGGTGTGGTGAGGCAGCATGGGAGATGTCAACTTATGCCGCCGTGTCAGGAAGACCCGCGACATCCAAACCAAGGGAAAGGAAAGGTTAGAAATTTCACGTTAGACAAGCATAGTGTGATAAAACGAATCGGACGTCCATGGCATACAGTGCTAACTTACACCAGGCATTGAAAACAAACCCGACAGAGCAAGTGAATAAAAATCGGGCAAAGACTGAACCGAATGTGTATACACGAATCCCCCCGATCCCTCCATCAACCAAATATTAAACTTCATTGCAATGATAGGGAAAAACGGAGAAAAGAGGAAAGTGTAAAACCGAGTCACAAAAACCCCCTCCCAAGCCATCCAACAGACTACCCACCGCAACTAACCAATCCTGATAATCCCAGCAGCCATCAACTTCTGCACCTTCCCCTTGACAACCGGGTTCTTCATATGCTCGGTAAGCGCGGCAGGGTCCCTCTTGGCCTGTTGTAGGATACTCTGCATGACGGGGTCGGAAATGATGGCGACGATCTCCGGGTCCTTTTGTATCCTCTCCATGGTCTGCTCCTCGGTCTCGCCCTCACGCGCAGAGTACATGGTTTGCATAGCCTTCCGGGTGAGGTCCTCGATTTCCTTGGTGTGCTTGCTCTCTGTATCTGCTTCTGTCGCCGCATTGCACGCCTCAAGGCACTTGTTGTACTCACGCATGGCAAAGCAGGCCTGGGCTTTCCGAATGTGCGCACGCATGAAGCCTGGGTCGCGCTTGATGGCTTCATCGCAGTCCCTGACGGCTTCCGGGAAAGACATGAGCTTAGTGAGGGCCGCTGCACGGTTGGTGTACCCGCGCGGGTCCTCCGGAGCGCGCTTGATCATCTCAGCGTAGGACTTTACAGCCTCAGGCCAGTTTGCAGACTTGAAGTAGGCATTTCCGGCTTCTCTTGCTTCCTCGGCCTTTCCCGGGTCAATGTAGGAGATGCGGTCGCGGTCCGCTTGGAACTTTTCGACCGCGCGGAGCTTTTGAAGAATTTCAGGTGTGCGGTGTTCCGTGAGGGAGCGCTGGTAGTAGTCTATTGCTGCAGGGTAGTTTTCGAGTTTCTGGTGCGCGGTACCGATACGGCCAAAGGCTCTAGTGATATTTGTTAGTTTGGATTGAGATAGGATGGAGAAAAAGGGGGGGGGGGTACTTTGCGACTAGTTTAAAGTCGGCGTGGATTTCCCGACCTTCTTCGATTGCCCTTTCGCACTCCTTTATGCAGCCTTCGTAGTCGCCTGCTTCAAATTTGGCAGCAGCGAGGTTGTTGAGGTACGTGATATCCTTGCACAACTCCCATGCCTTATTGTAGTGCTCAATAGCAGTGTCAAAGTTGCGTTTCTTGTAATTCTCATTGCCCAGCGCCTTCTCCTTATCTGCTGCCTCCCGGGCCTCCTTCCTAGCCTTGGCCTCTTCGCTCTCCAGCTCTGGAGGTGTAGCCGCAGCTCTCTTTGGTTGATCCCTGGGTGCATCCGGCATTTCAGTGTCCTCAGAGGATCTAGTAGCCCCCCCTGGTCCGTCGGGGCCATCGCCCATTTCCACCTGGAGCCCCAATAGGGCTGCGATGACCTGCATGATCCTTGGATCGCGGAGCTCACTTTGGATGAGGTTGGGATTCACACGGATCTTCTCCAGCTTTTCCATGAATTCCACATCTTCAAGGTAACCGGAAGTCCTCGGATTTCTTGCGAGCTTCTCCAAAAACTGTGGGTCTTTGAAGAGGTTTCCCATCCCCAAATCTGCGGCACTGCCCTGCTGGCTGTCGCGAGCAATAGCCTCCTGGACGGATTTCACACCAGACTTGGCCTGCGCATTGTTTGGGTCAAGTTTTAAGGCCTCCTCATATGTATCCAGCGCGGCGACTAGGGAAAATTTTAGCAAGTTTCGTAAAGATGTGGAGTGGTGGATGATTGCGCACCTAAGTCTCCTTGACCGTGAAGAGCAGCTCCCTTCCTAGTGTGACCCTTGGCCCAGTCCGGCTTTATTTCTGTGCAGTGTCAGCTCGGTCCGCCGAGGAAAGGAGCAAGACCTATACCAATACACTTGACCGCATCCTTCAGGGCACCATCAAAATCCTTGATAGAAGCATAGCATGCGGAACGATTCGAGTAAAGAACATGATTGTTAGGATCAACCTCAATAGCCTGAGTGAAGAGGCCGCTGGTTTGCGTCAGTCCGCTCAATTTCCCTCTAGACTCGCGAGGGAGGGACACATACATGGCCTTGTCGAAATCTTTCGCAGAAAAAGCCGCGTTTCCTTCGGCTTTAAGCTATACCACAGTCAGTCTATCACCCCATCGTGCCACGCCCGTTGGCTGTCGTCGGAGCTTGCAGAAGAAGAAAATACCTTGTCGGAAGACATATTGCTTAGCGATTTTCCGAAGAATTATGATCCAAGCTACGGAGCTGTGATTCGTATTCTCCAGCGGAAGGAAAGTGGTTGGGAGTGGATAGGGGTGGGAGGGATAGGGTGGAGGAGGGGCTTGAAAAAGTAGTGGGATGGTTGCACAGTTATAGCGGGGCAAAGAAGGTTCGAGCGGGTTCCAGGAATCGGTATGGGGTATAGCCACCACAAGCCAACGGTAAGTAGCCAGAACGGGGCTGCTGAGATTGGCACGGGCAGCAGAGGCTTGAGGTTCGAGTGTTAAAAAAAAGTCCCTAATAACTACTCGAGCACATCGATGCCCCCCTGCAGAGTTTTATCAGGCATACCACTTTTAAAAGAAACACCAACGTCGTTTACCCTAGCCTGGCGATGAGAGCAGAGAGGGCTGCACGTTAGGCAAGTGCTGTATCTACGTAAGGTTTAGGGATCAGGGCTGCAGGATGCCCCCGTCAATAAAAATTCCTGCATGTCATCTGCGATCCGGTGCACAATACTGTACAGTACAGTGTCCGTAAGGTCGTTTTTTTCCCGTTTCCCCCATCCATTTCCTTCTCTCAGCATCTTACAAGCACGACCTTGAACTTGGTTCCTGATATCATCCCCACCCACCATCAATCCCCGCCAAGGACCCCGTTCTCACTTTGAGCCTCATTCGGAAACACCTGTTATCCTCATGACTCATCACTCACTTTGAGATTGGAAGAAACAAAATCTGCAGACCCCCGAACGGTGTGATACAAAAACCCAAAGGCTCATCAAGCCTATGCCAACCGTGTGAATTCGAGTTGGGGAATTGGATTATTGCCCATCCCTAGCACCGGACCCGTACCAAACCCAGGTAACCGAACAGGAGGAGCCCTAGGTTACTGACGGTATTCCGAGCGGCATTCCGAACGGCATTGAGGAGCAAGCCGAGGCTTCCGCTCTGCCCATTGAACAATTTCTCCTGTTCATAGGAAACACGAATGATCTATCTTTATATATCGGTGGGTCCCCAATCAGCTCATCGATCAATGGGCATTTCACTCATATGCAGCTTTCGACATGAGATTCACCCCCGCTCCGGAGACCCTGCCAAGGAATGACTTGGGCTTTCCCCCATGGGCGCATACGGTAGACTACCGTATCATGCCAGCAAGGATTAGTCTATCTGGAGTTAGGGTTCGCCCCTTGATGACATGCCTATCGGTGGGTTCCCGACCACCCCCGAGCTAATCGTTATGAGGCCGGCATGGTGTCACCGGTACGGTATTTTTTTATGCTCGTACCGATACCGGACCGGTACCAGCGGTCCACCCGAGTTCTCGCGAAGAATAAGAGATCCGGACACCGTGATGCCCAGGCCCACAAAAGAGCAGATCCCTGGCGCCAAGGTATCCTGATATCTGAAATTCGCCAGAAGAAGCCTCACACATTCTTAATGTGAAGGAGGGGGAGTGCATCATGGTAGTAATTTACTCGTAGAATGATGGCGGCAAGAATTGCACATTGCAGAAACCGATTCTATCAGAGAGAGATCATCTCACCCCCCGCGTTCCGCCCATAAAAGAGGGAGAGACAGCAAGGGGCATGTTGGGGTCGCTGGAGACTGGTGAATGGTCGTTCGGGAAAAACTGTGAGTGTCCCACTAAGTTTCCTAAATGAGGTTTATAAGCGAAGACGGAACGGGCACACTTCTTGCCGGAATGATATGTGACAGAGTGTCGCACGAGTGTCGAATCTCGGAGAATTGTTATGATATGTGTACGAGCCTCCCACCAAAAGTCATGAGTGGGTTGTCATTTTACGTCAAGAATGGGCAACCTTATGTCTGGAAACCTCACTTTGATTGCTTTGATAGAAGAGAGCAAGGTTTGACAAATTTCCTGGGATAGCATGGAATTAGTTCTGGAAGAAAGAAACAAAAAGATTAATAGACTTTGGGCGAAAAGTATTAGTCTACTTGGAGAAAGATTGGGGATGGATAGGAGATATCTAGTCTACCAGTTTTCCATGAAGAAGGTACAGTACTCGGGTACATAGCAACACCTCATGAACAAATCTTTAGCTGCCAACGCTCACGCAGGGATGATAAAAACCACACAATTCTCACTGAAATACCGGTAGGTTGGGCAATCACAAAGCACATAATGCTGCTTTGATTAATTCTATCTTGTTTTGGGGTGATTTAATGGTCCTTAGAGTCATGCAACTTTGGTGCAAAATGGCAACCTACTCATGACTTTTCGGTGCGAGGATCGTGCTTGTACTCGTACAGTGCCGGGATTTTCGCTGCTGGAGCTTTCGGAGGTAGAGGGGCGGGCTTTAAGGGAAAGTCCGAACGAGGCAACTTCAGGGATTACACACTCGCCGGACCCGATTTGTGCGGTAGAGGCCTTGCTTTTTTCTTTTCTTTTCCCAAGGCTTACTTGTTTATATGTACCTGTACCGGCACATCTTCTGGATCCCGGGACCACGTTTTGTGACTGGTACAAGTACAGTACAGTGCTGTATCGAGAACCGGGTGGCTTGAACCAATTGATCCTCCCAGGCATTTTGATGAACGCTCCGGAATGGTTTTTTTTTTTTTTTTTTTGCCTTTTGATGTGCTGGTCTGCACGGGTATCATAGAAGGGATATCAAAGTCACTCGGGCAGGCCGTGAGGGAAAAAAAGGAAAAAAGTGTTGAGCTCGATTTCCTTCGGCTGCTGGTCAAGTTTGGTATCGAATCGCAGTCGTCATCCTGTCAACACCAACCAAGTGCCGTCTCTGCTCGTCGTCGTTCCCCTCTCCGTTCCCCTTCTTCCTCCTCGTCCTTCCCCTTCGTCCCTCCACCCCCTTGTTTCCCGTTGCAGGAGCGAGGAAAAAATTTTGTGATTCCTGTTCGCGCATCTCCTCGCAGAATCTCCCACCACCACCACCACCCCCACACCCACACCGCCCGCATCCGCCATCCTCCATTGATTCTTCTCCCCATTCTTGTCAGGCTCTTCCTTTACACTGCCCATTCCGAACCCACTGCTGGTGCATGCTTCACGAGAGTCATCGGTGCGTATCCCTGGCCCTATCACACTCCCAAGATTGTTGCCCGAGGCACGCCAAGACGGGAATACTCAATCCGGGTACTGTCGCTGCCTGGCAGGGCCTGTCTGATTTGGCCTTGTTGGGTTGTCACGGCCCCGGGAGAGGGCATGTTTTGTTGGCCTTGTTATCACATCCTTTCCCTCCTCTACCTTCTACCTCCCTTCTGACCAGATTCCAGTTGCCGTTTTCTAGGGCCCATTCCGCTCCCATTCTCACAGGGAACATTCACTGGTACGTTGAAATCGGAAGGGGCAGAGGATTGAGAGAAGAGAACGAGGAAAAAGCGTCGAAAAGAAACATGTTTGGGCACAATCCAATTACTAGTCATTCACACAGCCGACGAAGATCCTCCTTGTCGAGTATGTTCTTCTCCGCTGCTTCCTCCGTCGCAACTCCGAGTAAGTTAATGACTGGGGGTGGGGCTCGTCTGGGGTGGAGTTACAAAGGGCCGGTTTTTTCCGTGTTTGCGGTTGGAGGGCTGATGTTTGTTTTGGGATGTCTAGGCAACAAGTCGAGCGATGGCGATAGGGTCGATTCTGAGGAGGAGACCGTGGTGGACGATGGGGAGAAGAACAGTACGTGATCAAACGGCCGTGGATGTTGAGTTCCGGCGGATTCGAAATGGTGAGATCCGTGCGAGCGTGCTGATCCAAATTTTCCAGTGCTACTCTCGATAATATCGCAGCTTCGACCGGGTGCAGACTTGAGCCGGATCACGCTGCCCACCTTCATCCTGGAGCCGAAGAGTATGTTGGAGAGGATTACGAAGTATGGAGGCGATTCGATTGACTTTTCAGGAAGAGGCTGATTCTTTTTGTGTCGTGCAGCTTCATGCAACACCCTGAAACATTACTCCCGATGAGCGAGGTGGAGGATCCTACGGAGCGGTTTATATCGGTTGTTAAATTCTATCTCAGCGGATGGCACATCAAGCCCGTGTAAGCTTTGTTTTTCCGGTCGCTGCTTGGTGGATGGCCTTGTGCTGATGTTCACTTAGAGGAGTCAAGAAGCCATTGAACCCCATTCTTGGCGAGTACTTTACATGCTATTGGGACTTTAACGAGACACCCGGGACTCAAGCCTTCTACATTTCCGAGCAAACTTCCCATCATCCTCCAAAGTCTTCATATTTCTACATGGCCCCTCACCACCATATCCGTATCGATGGTACACTGAAGCCACAGTCTCGATTCCTTGGCAATTCGGCCGCCTCTGTGATGAGCACCTCTGTTGTGGTCCTCCGGCTGCTTAACCGGGGTTCTGCGGCGGGGAAACCGGACGGCGGGGAAAAGTACATCTTGACCCAGCCTAACATGTATGTTCGGGGGATTCTCTTTGGGAAAATGAAATATGAACTTGGCGATCACTCATATGTCAAGTGCCCCGAATTGGATCTGGTGGCCGATATAGAGTTTAAGGTCAAGGGATTTTTCACCGGAGCGTATAACGCTATTGGTGGTTTTATCAAGAGGGAAAGCACCGGCGAGGCTTTGTATGAGATAGCTGGCAGCTGGAACGGTGAAATCTTCATTAAGGATGTTCTGGTGAGCTTGTCCTTGCTACAAGTCTATGTCTGGGAGCTGATGAAGATAGACCGGCAAGAGAGATTTGCTCTTTGATGCTACGGACGCAAATCCTACACCTCCGGTCGTTCGGCCGTTGTCTGAGCAGGATGACCGCGAATCCCAGAAACTGTGGAAGCCTGTTACCTCCTCTTTGAAGAAGAGAGACCAAGATGCTGCAACTGAGGAAAAGTTTCGGATTGAAGATAGGCAACGAGAGGAAGCTAGGCTGAGGGAGGCCGATGGCGTGGAATGGACCCCGAGGTTCTTTCGAAGAGTTGATCCTGCAAAAGGGGAAGAGGAGGAATTGGATTGGATTATTTCGACTCACATGTGCGTTGCCCACCGTTGTAGTGGCGGGTGCGGGATGTGATATCTGACAAGCTTGGTTTATAGTGATGGCACAACACCCGAGGAGCAAATCAAGCAAATCCTCACCATTGCCCCGATACTTACTGGGGTTAGACGGAACAGTAAATATGACATCCCACCCCACCACGGAAAGGTACCGGAGGAGGCCAAAGGAGATTCCGATCTACTGGATGTATCGTCTCACTTGCAACCTGCTGGCGTCTATACTCAGGTACATAGGACACCACAACCACCATCTGCTCTTGAAGCGGACTTGATAGATTTTGGATCGGAGGCTGATGAAAAGGACGATGGCTTGGGGCCTGCTTTGGTGCCAACCAGTAAAGTGATTGCAGCAACAGGACGTTTCGGCTCATCTGGTTTCGATGATATGTGGAAACTCGGAGGATCCTTGCCGGAGACAAAGACAGGACCGAGTTGCGAAAAGTTAGAACCAAAATCGGCGGGGAGCAGTATTGTGATGAGTGGCGACGATGATGGCGACAGATTTGAGGATGCGGTGGAAGCGTAGATTTGGTGATTCGCGAATTCAACATAAAAACGGATCGGTTTTAGGGCGGGCAAGGAACATTAGCATTAAATGATTACGGATCATTCGACGAGTATAATTGGCGTAGGCATGGGGCAAGTATCTCTTTTTGCAAGGAACCTGATGTGTATAACATTGCCATTTGGCTTTCTTTTATTACCTTTCTTCATATGTTTCTCTATTCCAATCTCAGTCTTATCCCTGGATATCAAATTTTTTTTCTTCTCGTCCGTTTTTATATTCTGCGAGGTTTGTTTTTTTGCGTGTAGACTTGTTTTACGCCCGCGGTTTAGAAACGGGTGGGGAGGGGACGGGTGTTGCTAGATTGGGGTACCGGTAGGTGAACTGGTGCGACTGATGCAGGTGTGGATGTTATTACGAATGCCAAGGCGCCCGTTGGGAGAGAATAAAGTTAGATTTGAGTGGGCGGTCTGCGCTGGATTCGGCTGTCGGAGGTGGCATTGTGCTTGAGTGATGGTAGTCCCGTGAACCATGTCTACCTTGTGCCACGATATTCGCCAATCCCAAAAGTATCGGGAAGCCTGCGCACTATGCCCCTAGGAACCGCGCACCTCTGGTTGCCCCAGCAGTGCGGTTTTTGGGGAATTTTGGAACTGGCGAGCATGTATCGGCTTCACGATGGGCTATATCACAATTTATCACTCGTGAATTTGGGGATCTCTGTCTGATCCAGGGATAGTCTGGAGTAGTGTGTGTAACCCAGCAGGTGCCATACAGCAGGGCGAATCAATCCAATCTCAAGACCCACTCTGGGAGGGGCGGGGGGCTCACGCCAGGATACCCACCCCCTTTTGGAAGGGGTATCATCATAGCTTCGGTATCAACCCCCCTCCTGGATTTCATGAAGGCTGTCACTGTCAAGCTTTCCTTTTCTTCCCCCCACCTAGGGCTCCCGGGTTTGGAATTTATGGATTTTTCCTCCCTCCTTTGCATTTTCACCGCGCACATTTCCTCAGAAAGGGGAGAGAGGAAGTATGTATGCCCTCGTTGCGGAGATATACATACTATCTGTGGAAAACACGTGCATGTATCATACTTATACCGATCACGCTGGTGGCCTAAATGGAGATGGGGAGTAGAATAGAGTGGATTATTACTATTATCAAGTATGATATCTGGATATCTTAGGATAAGATCTGGTTTTTGTGTGATTTTTTAATTTGGGGGGGGGGGGTTCTTTCCTATGGTATCATATAGTCGAAGGGCACTCGGAATAGGACAGAGTGACTGTTATAATACCAGTACAATATCTCCCCATCTTATGGCAGGGGGATGACCGCCTACTAAAGGTATTTATGATGCTGGAATAATTGGACGTTCGAGTCGCCTTTGCTGGTATCATAAAGTGCTGCTTCTTTTTTTTTTTTTTTGGTCTCGAGCAACGTAAAGGCGAAGGAGGAAGGAAGGAAGGAAGAATGTTAATTTCTGCTGTGCGTTTGCCCCCCCCACTTCCCACATAATAAATTTAAGAGAAGGAATTCTGGACTTGTTCGGGAGTGTTTCAATCGTTGTGGTAAATGATACGGTATATCTACGCGGTGGTCGTGTGGGAAAAGATACAAATTTGGCAAGAGGAATTTCAGTGACTTCATGTACAGTGCAGTAATTCTCCATCCATTGCAGGGACATTATTTGGAAATCATCACTTGGAAGAGGTGGTAGAGTCTATGGTACCCAACCAACGTATTATATCAATCTGCACTTTGAGGTGGAGGAGGAGGTGAAGAGAGATAGATAGTTGTGTATTCACCAGTCTATAATTAATATCATACCTTCCCTCACCGTCCTCCGCTATTCTTTGTAATTATAATACCAGGCAACTACTGTATAATATTCCCGTTGGGTTTTGCACGCCACTTCACTCACTCACCCGTCCATAACTCGGAACGGGAAAACCGACCGACCGGTTGCAGTCCCACTTGACCTGATCTCCGGGCACATCTTTTTCTACTACCACCGAAGACGATTAGTTGGCCAGTTATGGCTCTACGCTAGTCACCCAGCATGATAACCAGCACGTCCTTTAGTTGTTTAATTGTGGAATGGCACCCAGGCCCGTGACCATTTATTTATCTATTCACGATGTCCAAAGCGGGGAGATGGATGAAATCCGAAATCCATCCATTCCCGGGTAGGAGGCGTATGATAATGCTGTGACAATTTTTGAGCCTTGTAATGCTTGTTTGGTCTCTCGGATGTGATGTGTATGATATGGTAGAGGTGTGCACGAAAAATTGGTCATGCGTGTCCTACCGCATCTGGTGTAACTGATAGTGCGGTTATACCCTAGCGCCTAACGCCATGCATCTTACCTGCCTGACAGTTCCTCCTATGTGGATATGCGTAAGCCATAGATTGGGTGCGTTGAGAAGGGCTAAAGATACCCCGGATGGCAGAGAGGGACAGTAGTTACGTAGGCTGTCATGTGATCCCCAGGTACTGTACTCGTACACTTCCGATCACCGAATGAACACCTCTGACTCGTGCTGGTTGGTTTCTGACGGGATGGGCACATTACAGGCACAGAAGGGCGAGAGGACTTGGGCTAAAGACAGCTGAGCTTCCTGCCAAAGGGAAAGACCCACCCCTCACTGTTTCGCCTCTGATACCGAGAGGTCCAAATCAACGGCGATTAGCCACCTCGCCACCGGTGTGACACAACTGAACAAGTTTCAGCAGCATATGACAATTACCAAAGCAAATGTATTTGGGAAATACTTCACTATGGCTACAACTGAGAACCTGGACCTGTGCCTGGCGATATTGATACACTAGCCAAAAAGTGCAAAAAAACCCAAAAAAAAACACGAAACCAAAGCGCCTGGGACCAAACACCCCATCAGAAAACATCCAGAAACCCCCAAGAAACGCACGCACCGCATTTACCGCCCCAGAAAGCAGCAGCGAGGGGAGGAGGGTAAGAGGCCACACAGAGCGCCAAACCTCATCACTAACCTACAGGATCCCCCAATCCTGGAATAACTCGGAGGCGGGAGGTGATATACCTTTCCTGTAAGGCGAATTTTATCCCATCATATCAGAGGTGTTCTGGTCGGGGCTGTGCTCGGGAATTGGGCTACAGGCGATGGATCCCAGCACGGGCTAACACCCGCAGGCAAGGGAGGGGCATAGAGTCGGTCCCAGCGAATAATCTGGGAAAAGGCGTAGACTGCGTTGAGGACAATTCTGACGGCAGAGATGGTGAGATACCCGGGCTGTTATGATAATAATGCGTGAGATAGGACACGGGGTGTGAGATGGTTTGATATTTTGTCAATAGTGATAGGGGACCGGAATCAGAGAGAGTTCTTTAAGTATAAGCCAATGTTATAAAAAAACCCCCTTCAAAGTCTAAACCACCCCCTCCCTAAAATCGCACTGCATTACCATTCCACCGGGAGAGGGAGAGAGCAGCCATGTTTCATATACATTGCAGAGACACTCAAGACCCCAAATAGGTCCCTGGTTGACCCCACGGCGCATGGGCCGCTTATATGCACTACCGGGAGCATACGACACCATACCCACCTGGAGAACAAAAAAAGAAACGGAAAAAAAAAATCATTGAATGGCGAGTGATAACCCATGATACACACCTACCGTGTATGATAATGACACATACCAGCTTCTCCACTCCTAATATCACATTATGTATCGCACGTACCGCGACACTGTTTAATTCTGCCAGGCTCTGGTCGGAAGATGTGGGAGGTGCTTCTCCCATTCCTTCGCATCAGAGTGTGTGTTCGAATTGTAGAGCACTTTTCAGGTCCCGCCAGCAGTCTTCTCGTTCGACCCCACCACGTGGGAGAAATCACCTGATTGTGGGGGAAAGGGGGTTATTTCCCGAAGGTGGTGGTGGGGATTTGGATATTATACTTTCCGGTTATCGGCTTGTTGTAACCGCCGTAATAATATTTTGTGGATTGTGGGTGTGTTGAGGTTGGGGTGCTGTCTTTGCCTGCCTGCACGCGTATCATTCATACAGTGTGATAATATCTGGTACGATAGTAATGTACGATATTTTGCAGCGGTGCGCTTTCTCATTATCGCTATTATCTATGAAAATAAATGCATAAATAAATAGATGATTTCACTTCGATTAAGCAATTCCAATGGGTATGATATAACTTGGATCTAAATTTATTGATTTGTAATAAAGAAAAAAGAAAAAGAAAAAAGATCAATAATGAATCAAGGTATCCAAAGACTGTCCCCGTCGCCATCCACAATTTCCATTTTTAATTCAAGAGGGGAAAGAAGAAGAAAAAAAAATATCACATCACCACTTCACCATCCCCTTCCCCCCACCTTCCTCGCAGTAAACATCCCAATCCACCCTCCCGACCACGGGGCCCTGGGCGATCTTCCTAGCCTCGAACCTGACGGCGCTGCCAACGCCCTGGATAAAGTCGAACCGGCCCCTGGCTCTCAAGCCCCTATCGAAGAATGTGATCTCCCCGTCCCTATCGTCCAACTGGACCTCCCCGTCCTCCCCGGCACGTCCAGCCCAGTAGAAGCCGACAGTGTGGTTCTTGGCGGAGGGGTAGGACTTCAGGCGGAGGATGCCGTCCATTACGCCAAAATCGACCTCGCCGACGACGGTGTTGGAGTCGGCGTCTTGCATGAGCGTGAAGGTTAGCTCCTCCGCTTCCCAATCCTGGGTTATGGCGGGGCAGGTGACGTCCCAGGTTCCGAAGACGTGCTTTTTCGTGAAGGCTGTGGCACCCGACTTGTGAAGGGGGGATTTGACGTTTGGTGAGGAGGAGGAAGAGGAAGAGGAGCAGGTAGCGGCGGCGGCGGCGGACATGGGAGCGAGAGGGGCGATGCAAGTGGGTGGGGATATAGAAGTAGAAGCAGTAGCAACAGTAGAAGAGACAAAACTCCTCCTCTCCTCCTCCTCCTCCTTTATCCCCCCCCCTTCCTCCTCTTTAAAAACCCTCTGAAAAACAACCACCTCCTCATCATCACTCGCAAAGTCCATCTTGAAACACTTTCCCTTCTTCCCACCACCACCTTTCCCCCCTCCACCGCCACCCTTCCCCCCACCCTTCTCAACAACGCACTTCTCCCCACCATTCTCCTCCCTCTTAGCCCTCCACTCCGCCCTCATGTACTTCTCCAAGAGCTTCATCTCCAACGGCTGCTTCTTCAGTAACCCCTCATTGTACGCCGCCCTCAACCGCCTCTCCAACTCCTGCTTGCTCCCGCTGAGCGGTTTGATACCGTAGTGCGCCAGCTGCGCCTTGCACCACTTGCCCGTCAATTTGGGTGGCACCCACGTCTGCTTGCGGGGAGGGCGAACGGGGTTCAGGTAGTGATTCAGCGTCTTCTTGTCAGCGCGCGGAACATTGGAGTTTAGGAGGCCGCCCGGGTGGGAATATGTGAATGAACCAGATTTTATGGGCTCTATCATGGTTGGTTGGTCGGTAGTAGGGCGAGGAGGGGTGGAGTGTGGGGAAGGTGGGAGAGAGAGGGAAGCAGGGGTTTTTTATGAATGGGTTAATGTCGTCGTTGTGGCGGGGGGTACCGGAAGTATCGCAAGTAGGGGTGGATAGAGACATGCACGGGGGCGGAAGTCTGCAGGTATAACTGAAGCTTTCGTCCCCACTTTACTCACTTCTCACTATGAACGATGGCTGGTGATTCATTGTGCATCACTCGGAGGGATAGCAAACTTGTCCTGCACCCCCTTTTCTGCTCCGTTGCGAAATCTAAATCTAAATCTAAAAAAAAAAGGTAGGAAAAAAGCATAGACACATCCGGACGGGCTCGGTTGCACCTAGCCTCTCTCGAGTCGAGTCGGGTCACGTCATGTTGAATTTGAAGAAGAAAAAAAAAATAGAAAAGTTCGGATGGATGGAATAAAGGAATGACGTGAGATCATGTCAGCGAAAGGACAAAGAAACTTTTGTTTGCTCAAAACTGCTCTGGATGACTCTTCTTCGCGTGAGGTTGGTTTGATTGCTGTTGCCTCGATTATATCGCATATCCATCTCAAACAAGTGTTTAATAGGGCGCCCCAAATCTGTCAGAACTTTTGATTCCAACAAGAAAACTGCAGGTCCCATCATTGGCACGGACAAAAACTACTACATCACGCAAACTTTGATAACACATCAATGGTAATCCCGACTTTAGAGTTAGAGTGAAGAAAGCTTTCCGCCAGACATGCCGCCATAGCCTTGTTACAAATACACCTTTCTCACCCCCACTCCCTTAACAAACAGGAAAATCTTCAAAAAAGCAAAGATTTGACCCCCCGTATCGCTCGAAAGACTAAGGGAATATCAAATTCTCGGACGAAACATTCAGAACCCCCATACCAGCCCCGCCATCCCCCCAACCCGCTACCACCGCTCCGAACCCCTCTCCCATAGCCCCCTGAAAAGTTAGAGAAAACATCAAACTCATTGCAGGAAAAGAAAAGAACCCCGAATTTCATACGCCAGGAAAGAAAAAAAATACAGCTTAGTAAGAAAGTAAAATAAAAATAAATAAAAAAATAAGTGGGAGCAATTAGAAGCGAATTGATTAAGAAATAAAATGAGCCTCCCAGATCCATCCTGACTATTAGGAAGCATGCGAGCGCACTTTCAGTAGACCCCTTCTATGCCTCGGCGACGCGTTGCTGGCAGTCTCAGAGCTCTTGAAACTGGTCCTCAAAACAACCTTGCCCTGGCCAACAGGAACCACAGTGTCACCTCCATTGCCGGTGTCATCGACAACAAACAATCCCTCTCCCAGCTCCTCGTCGCCACGCAGGAGGTGGTTATCTTTGGCATAGACCTTGAATTGTTGGTCGGCCGTGCAGTTAAAAGTAAAACTCTCATCCCAAGCCAATTCCCCAGTGGAAGATTTGACAGATTTGCTCTTATGAAGCTCCTTGCCCTTATCCAGGGTCTTGAACCGGAGTTGAACGTTGGCGTTGGCAGGGAACCCGGAAGCAGCAACAATCCTGACAGTCGCTACCCCGGAATCGGCTCCTCCAGGCGCTCCACCGGGTACGGAGAGTGTGCTCGAGACGCTTCTGTTCCTGTTATGCGGACTTCCTGCTGTGGATGGGGAAGGACTAAGGCCAGCACGCTTCCCAGGAGCCCGCTGCCCCTGATCCAAGCCATCCTCCGACCCGTCCGGAGCCACCTGGTTCCCATCGGGGTCATAAGCTGCGACACCGCCCTCACTGCTCCCTTTAGTAGCACCTCCGTTCGAGACAGCTGGACCGGACGTCAGTATTTCCTGCTCGACCTCCTCTGCAACGCCGTTGGAATCCTTGGCCCTGCGACCAAATGCGCTCTTCTTCAAAAAAGAAGCACCCTTGGTGATGCCACCGGCGGCAAAACTACCAACTTTGAGTGGGGCACCTGCAACACCAGTGACCACCTTTCCAGGTGTAGCGAGCGTACCGTGGAAGGTAGACGATCCTTGACGTGATCTGGTAACGTAGTCTGATTTGAATAGTAGCCTGAGCCTCAACTCTCCAAATCTGCCCTCCTGACCTTGTTTACCAGTAAGCTTTATTATAACTGTCTTTGGTGCGAAGGGTTCAAGTTGCGCCAAATCGATTTGGCCCCTGCTCAAAAAATCTGCCTTGCCTGCTAAATCCCAGTCAAAGATTTCAACCACGAAGTTTGCGGCGGTCCTCGATGCAACCTTGGTGTCGAAAACCTCGTTCCAAGAAGGATGCAGCGTCTTCTTCTGCACACCAGTCTCGTGCAATTTTTTACCGTCCAAGGAAAAGACACAGAATGGATCACTCTTGCCATTCCTGTCGGCAGAGGGGAGATTTGCGGCATCCAATACGTCCACCCTGAGGGTACCCATGTTGTTGATGCTCTCACTAGGATCGAGAGTCATCATAACGGGAATATACTTCAAGCTGATCTTGACCTTGCTGACCATGCCGCCTCTGTCTTTGAGAGAAAGGACAGTTGGGTTGTTCTATCTCTCCCGGTATCAGTAATTAAACTCTCATCCCTAGAAACCCAGGTGAACATACCAGACATTGCTTTACCGTCTCCAGAGTGCTACCAGTCAATTTTCCAAGAATTTCATCCTCCTCACCTCCACCCTTCCCATGCTCTCTCAAACGGAGAGTGACCCGGGAGAACTCGAGCTCTCTAACAAAAGCATCACCGACTATCCGTTATCCGTCAGTTCTAATTCCCAAAAGATCAGGGCAAATACGCACTTTCACTAAACTTCATATTCTTGCTCTTGATTCTGGCAGTGGAATAGGCGGGATACAACATATCGTCCATAAGGATGTCAAGATCGCAATCCTTATGCGCAAATTGGCCCTCGATTATCTTGAAAACCAAGAGTCCAGAATCTATCGCAAAATGAGCATCATCCTAGGCAGGTGAACAGGTAAAATACCGTATTTAACCAATTCCTCAGGCGTTAATCTGATCTTAGGAGCCTCCTTTTCGTCACCATTGGAGTCAGAACCAGCCGCCGCCTCAGCAATAGTATTCTCCTCAATCTGCTCTTTGGACTTCTCATTCTCAGCATCAACCGCACTTTTCTCCGCCCCTTGCTTGACGGTTTGCTCGTATTTCTCATTCTCTTCCTGTTCTTTGAGTTTGCGTTCGGCTTCCTCCGCTTCAGGATCAGCGATATTAAGGCAGGGGTAGAAGGCAGCGGTAAAGTTAAGAGTCCCTTTGACTCCACGATCCAACTTAAGGCCTTCACTGCGATTAATCCTCTCACTGTGTTCAAGCCAGAGGCCATCTTCGCCTTGTTTGATGTACTCGTCACAGTTAACATCCAGATGGCCAAGTGAACGATCCTTGCCCATATTCTCTTGGTCCATAACCTCAAGTGTCAATCTCTCCCGAGGTGAGTGGACTGGAATGTATAGAATCTCATCCCAATCCGGGTTCAGATCATTGTTAAAAGTGACGGTGCGGGCCTTCTCAACTCCCGATAGCAAGACATGCACGTACGGGTCGGATTTACCCAATGACTCCAAGTTCCTAAGATCTCTTGCGCTCTGCAGATGGATTCTCATGACACCGATGGGTGTAACATAGCCCCCAGTACCTCCTAAAGCACCCTTAATGGCAACAGGTTTCCATTGAGCTGTCAATTTGACCTTCCCAGTCTTCGCCTCTGAGAGATTAAACCATTCTACGCCCTTAGAATTTTTATCAATGAGATCGTCCAGTTTGATCATGTAGGTTCCCAAAAGCGGATGTGCAGCTAGATCACGATCATCCTTAATCCGAAGTCCCAGTTTAGCAGTCCTGCGGTTGGTGACAAGAATTTCTTTGGAAACCTCCCAGATGGGACTATTGTTGCGTTTGACTGGCTTCGTCTTGTTGATAGTCTTACCATTGAGAGACTGGATGGCGTATGGGGAGAGGGATCCGACAAGACTCTTGCTAGAATCAAGATCTTTCGCTTGAGAAACGGTAAATCGCAAGATACCGGTGTTGCTCTCCGGTGCAGGCTCCTTTGTTCCGTCCTCCAAAACCGAGCCCTCCAGGACTGGGAAGAACCGGAAATCACATGAAACCTGGCCTCTTGGCTTTCCACCGATCATAACTGGCACGACAACGTTTTCCTGCTCGGGGTCCTCTTGAAGCTTGTCTAAGGCAAATGCGGCGATTCCCAATTCCTTATCCTTCCTGAATTCGTTCCAATCATAAACAGTCATGGTCAAACTGTCATTATAATTGTTGATAAGAATATATTTGGTCTCATTCCATTTGGGATTAGCATCCTCATTGACAACCTTGGTCCTCCCTATTTCCTCACGGTTGTTAAGCGAGAACACCGTATAAGGGTCAGGGGTGCCGCTGAATTTATCGGGATTCTTAAGGCCATGAGCATTGTGAATGGTAACGACAAGGACACCAATAGCGGTATCAATTGGGGCACCTCCCAGCAATTTGGCAACTTCAACAGTAAACACCTAGAGAGAATTAGTATATATATAAATAAAGCAGAGACCGCGCCAATGCCTACATTGGGAGCGTAGAACATAGGGCCAAGATTCGCATGGATCATTTCCTGGATGAACCCGTTAAGACCTGGGAGGAAACCGATGTCAATACCAAAAGTCTCTCCCCCAAGCGGCTTCAGGACATAGTCAAACGTCGGTCTCCCCAAAAAGCACACGTCAACCTTCTCAATCTGGAGCCGTAACAGTTAGCACACTTTACCTCTGATATGGGAGGCGGTACGACGTACATGGGGGAAAGCAAGTTGGAGCTTTATCTTGACTTTCATTATACCAGAAAATGCCATATCCTCAACGACAATCGGCACCCCCTTTGAAGCGAGGCCCTTACCAACACGGACTTCAAGGACGACCTTACTATCAGAATATCAGTAAAAGTGTCGCTCAGAACACGATAGTTTACCCACGGGTTAACTTTGTTCCTCAGTTGTCGGCTCGTCAGGTCGGCGGTATCATTAGGAGTAAAACTGAATTTCCAGTCCATTTCGATAATATCATCTTCCGTCTTGGGATAGGTTTTAGCAAACTCGATTCTAGGCGGTTTGGTTCCAAGTGTGAAGGTGGTAAGTTTTAGCGAGTCCAAGAAACCGGGAGCAGCGCCTTCCAAAACCGGATCAACCGCGTTGATAACGGTGGCAGCGAGAACCGGTTGGTAGATGGGCCAAAATTTGACCGTGAATGAATTGAGCCATTCAAGGGATTCAACATCGGTATCCAATCTACTCTTTCCAAACTCGCGGCTGAGATCGTCATGAATATTGCGACGCACCCGACGGATTGATGTACGGTAATAGGTTGCGCAACAAGCCATGACAATGATAACCCATCCAAGGCCGCCACCGATAAGTGTCAGGAACCAGGTTGACAAACACGCAAAACCGATGACGCCCGCATTGTGATACCAGTCTTCACAACTATCCGTTAGAACATTTACCCATTCAGGCAAACAACAGGTACAAAAGCTCACCACCAAAGAATTTGTCGTCCAATTTACTCTCGAGAAATGTTTGATGATCTTCAGCCATCGCGTCACCGAGTCCGAGGGCGTCATTGAGGCTTCCAAATTGCGGTTCCCAACCGGTTCGGCTCCATTCACCATCGCCGGCCTTGGGCTGGCCGTTTACCATACCGGGGTTTTTGGGGGTTTTGGGGGTCTTCGGAGTATCGGGCAAAGCTCGGGTAGCATTTCTTCCATTTGTTGCCCCATTGCTTCTAGGCGCCGATGGAGGGCTGCCTTGAACGGCTTGTGTCTGTAGTTATCATGATAAGCAAGAATTCGATATATATATATAAAAAAAGAGTATTATGGGAGGGAAGCTTACAGGATCCAAGACTTTTCCCTTTGCTAAACCCAGTTCTCCGGGGATCGCCTATCCGTAACAACAGGGTTCATGTCATCAGCAATAACTCCCACGCTTCGACAGCCCCCCCATTCCGCAAGAAACCAAACACAGGTAGCAGAAGGGTTCGTAAAATTACCTTTTTCGCCCGGGCAGCCTTCTTTTCTGGTGCAGCATCCGGATCAAATTCAAAAACCATTGCTCCTCCCTTCCTCGACTCCTTCGCCAATTCATGCTCTCTAGCCTTGGCCTCTTGCTCAATCTCAGCGGCAGGCTTTAGCGGAGCAACGCCTCTGTCCGCCATCTTCTCTCGTTCTATGATATTCACTTGTGCGAGACAGAAAAAATTGGTGGGAATAGGCTGAGAAGAGCAAGTTCTCTCTGTAGCTCCAACTGAGGCTTAGTGTTTGCGGATTGCAAAGGGGTATTAGGCGATGTTGAGAGACCGGATGTCAACTGGTCGAGATGCCGCGAGACTTGCAGAATTCAGCAGATGGTAGAATGGACAACAAGGAAAATGAACCCGTGAAAGGGGATCAAAGGAGCAAGGAGAAAGGAGAAAATAATCTGGGAGACGGGAAATAGTAAGGAGAGGAAGCCACAATTCAATTGGGAGGCAGACAACGTGACCACACCTGGAGCGGGAAATCAAGCTAGGCGTGCCAGGACAATTGAACGGAGAAGAGGGCTCTAGGAGGGGATTGAGGGGAGGGTTCAGTGGTGGGTGGTGGGGTGACGGTAAGGAGCTGACAAAGGAGAGGGCAGAGAGAGAAGGGCGGGGGTGCGGAGAAGAAGTAGGAGAGAGAGGAGGGGGGGGAAGAGGGCAGGAGGAGGACAAGAGGGTGGAGGAAGCAAGGCAAGAGAGGCCAAACTCTGGGCTCAGGACTAGAGGAGAGTATGTGAGGGAGGAAGAGAGAGGGAACGAAGGAATCGGCAAGCAAGAAGGCAGAGAGGGATGGATAACCTGTCTCAGACATACGTTGTATGGCAATGCGTAGACTATGGGCACCCACAAAAAGAAATCCTATGGTGGTGGTAGCCATTGGTTGAGCTCTGGATGGCGGTGGTGATGGTGACGACCATCACAATATTCCAAACATCCCCCCCCCCAAACATGCCGGCGGGTCCAAGTCCAAGTTCAGCCACCACCAAGAAGATCTGCCCACGCAAGACCATGCTCTCCCGTTTGTTTATTTATTCATTCATTCAGGGTACGGTACGGGTACCGGTAGTCCAAAGGATGAGTTCTTGCAATAGATAAGGATGCATAAAAACTATTGTGGAAAATTTGTACTGTTTTTTTTTCTTTTTCCCTTGCTTTTTCCCTTTTTTTTTTCTTTCTAATTTACGAGTATCATACCCGCTCTAACCCTCTATGGCTCCCGCTAATCCCACGTTTCGATAATGGATTCCTGCCAATCTTTTCGCTCTCGCCTCAGCAATACCGGTAGGCCTCTGCCATCCCGGTGCTGAAGCGGAGATGGATGCACCACAGCTTGCAGCCTTTACCAGTCGTCATTGCGGGTGTCAAACTCTTCCAGTTGAGCGGTTTTCCAGCACGATCAACCATGCCCGGGCGTTGTGGAAGGTTCCCCATGCTTGCACCCGAGTCTTTTATGTGCCACACGCACATAATACCCCGGAAGAGAGGGAGATCAAATAGAATTTCCAGTAATACCCGTACTTATCGCGCCCCAGGTCGCTGTACGAGTACCGCAGATGGCGGCGCCCCGGCTATTCCTCCCGCCCACAACAAAAGGACATACTGTAAATTATCTCACACCGGTACTTTCTCCAAGTTATCCCGTACACTCCTGTGCCACTCGATCAAGTTGCAGCATATCAATGTGGCTCCAAGCACTGCAAATCTATCATACGGTACTAGCCGTTTTCAAAAGTATCCGGATGCCTTGGCTTCAAGACAGGCGAAAAAGATGCCAAGCCATCCGAATACTTTTGAAAACGGCTAGTACTCGAGGGCCGTACTGTGCTCGCATCGGTACACGAGGGATGGGGCCGGAGGTTTTTCTAGCAAAGCTCCGCGGTACCGCAAAATTCCTATGGTATTTCATCCTCGCTCCTCTCGGACACCTAAACTGCATGCAGTGCTAGCCCGAGTACTGCCAGTACGGTACGAGTACTGTAGCGGTTCATCGTGAAAGCAGCCTATAATATCACACCCATATGAAAGGCACGATACGGTAAAAGAAGAGGAAGAAGAGGAGAGGGGCGCAGGAGACCAGGGGCGGTTAGACTAACATATCGTTACGGTTCCTTTCAGTTTGCGTCATGCTCCCACCAAGCCAGGGCAGACAGCCATGGGCTAGCACTGACGACAACTGCTCGAGTATCCGAGCCCCTAACTCGATTTGGTCCATCAGCACCACCACCACTACCTTCTGTGCCGTCGGGGAAGAAGAAAAAAAATAGAAAAAAGAAACGAAACCCCCTATGAGGGCCACCCCTTGGAACTACAAGTGACAATCGGAAGCACCGATACCGTAGTCGTCACAGAATGCAGCGGAATGAAGCAGCGGTCCCCTCCCCTGTAAAACTGCGCCGGAAAAAAAGAAATGAAAAGAAATAAATATTGGAGAGGATTACTGAGTGCCAAGGGTTACCCGGTCCCCTGAGCGAGAACATCAGCCGATAACCACTGCTCTGCAGAGTACAATACGGTAGGGCAAAGTATCGATATCATGACATTGTGGTTTCCCTTTACCAATGCAGCATTGGAAGACTCACGCAGTTTGTAGGCCGTGCGGCGCACACGGGAGTCAACTCGTCTCCCGGGACAGATTCCGCTAAAGACGAGATATATTCGGATCGCCTGAGTTCTTCGCCCTCCCATGCGCTGCGGAAGGCATCCACGAACCTCGCCTAGCCTTTCAAAGGGATACGGTGGGCACGCCAAAAGCGCACCGCCGGCACAATATCCATCCCGTACGGTACAATGCACAACCATCGGGAATCCGGATGGATACAGTGTTGTATTTTCAACCCCTGTCTTTTACTCTTTCCGATACCGGTGTTTCTATTTTCCCCCTCCTCAAGCCACCCGAGGTCCGGAGGCACATTCACACAGCCCCAACACCATACAGCATCGTACCGTACCTTACTCATATCCCACGCATGAGATTGTGTTTTCCTCCGCAGCACACGATACCTGCTGTTGCGGTATCAAGTATAGTACTAGTACTATACTTGCACCGGTGGTTTACTCGAGTACCATAGGTAGCCTGGTAAAATCCAAGGAAGGAACCCAGTGCAGACCGGTCTGCCGGCCCGGGATTTCTACTAGTAGACAGCTAATAAGCGAAACAAAAGCCTTAGTTTACTTTGTACCGTGCTCGAGTGCGTTCCTTTCTCCCTCTCCCCCTCCCACAGCGTCCGTCAATCATACATCCCACGGGCTCATGGCAACCAAAGAGGTGAAAAGAAGGAAAGAAAAACACATTCCCCTAGCCCGCATACGCTCGAGTTCATGTAGGTGAAGACGAAAGCAGTCGGTCAGAGTCGGTTTGTCTCTCGGGCAGGATTCCAATCCAACGAGGCTGAACCAAAAGAGCCCGGGTCGGGGGAACAAAGTAGGTTTTTTTTAACGGAAACCTTCCAACCTCCAAAAGCCAATATATCTGCCACAACGACCCCACCACGCCCATGTCTAAAAAAAGTTTCTTTCGAAAAGACTCCACTCCTTCCTCGGGCTACCGCAATATAAATGTTCGGTACACAAACCACGAGTGCTAATCCCCTCCATCTTGACCTACAACTGCTAGGATGTAGACGAGCAGTACCGGTATGCAGACAGACACCAGCGGATAGCAACTAAAGAGGGGGGCGTTGGAATAGCGGAACCTGTCTTGGATGCGGTAGCCTCTACTCGAGTGGATGATGGCGAGGCCCACACCCCTTTTCGTGTGGCCTTGCTGCGCTTCCCCGATCTCTGCGAGACATTCCTCGCAGGTTATAATACTACGAGTACTCGAATAGTGCGATTTCCTAACGAGATGGCGAAGTGCTCTGCGAGCGCGGTACAGTATAGTACAAGTACAGTACGAGTGCCGGCGCATCATGGTACGAGTACATACAGGTTTAGAGGATTTGCGTGCGCTCGAGTACCGGTATTCATACAGAACCGATACTGAGTGTTTCACAGAGAATTCCATGATGTAGTATCCGTGGCGTTTTCCCACATAGCTTGGATGTTTGCGTCGCCCATCGATCTTGACAGCTTCAACCGGGTCCATGACATCGTGTGAGCGGATATTGCCGGAGCCGGTCTACGAGGCCTCGACCAATGCCGGCATCATGGGCAGCTTGCGTACTGTATATCTTAGGACATGGCCTGTTTTCATTTATTTTTTAGTAGCCGAACTGCCTGAGATACTGGAACCCGGGAGGGAAACCTTCTAGATCCTCGTAAAGAGTTGTTCGGCGCACTTGGTAACTTGTACCTTTTCCACCCCCCCCCCCCCCGGTCCCGCAGAATCAATGTGTTGAGTCTATTTCCGTTGTGTCGCGCGCGGTGAGCCAATTAGTGCTCGAGTACCTTATCACCGGCACGGGGACACGGCTGTCACTCGATTCCATGAACCTCTTTCCCACCCAGCTTTAGACGAGTGTCTTTTCCGACACCCTCCCCCCAACACACCACAAATACGAGGACGGGGGAGGGTGTGGAAAACGGAAAGGCTGGAATGGAAAGACAGTGAGGCAAGTGGAAAAACAAAACAAAATTACAAGTATGAGCAGGGGCTGCATGATGGCACCATCGAATAGGATCGCGGTGATCGAATCAGGCGGCAAGATTGGTGGTTGTCGAGCGGCGGTGTAACGTTTGATACAAGATTTCGGGACAATGGGCACTTGCTCGTACTGTACGAGTACTGTGCCTTCCAAGGAACCGTCCAGCGCATCAGAAGTGGGGAGAGGGGACCCGATCGCCATTAATAAATGAAAAACAGAAATAAAATTCAGGAAAAAGAATGAGGTTCGGTGAATGACGGTAGGATTCAATTGTTCATCACGGGCTACTGCGTTTTCCCCGCAAGAACGTTGGAGTCGCCCTTTAGTAACTGGTTTTTCTCAATTTTGAGTTATCATACCCGTAGAATACGAGTACAGTAAGGATCCGGTCTTCCGGTCACGTGTTTTTAGCTCCCTGCCGGTCCGCATCAGTCAGCAGAATAAAAAAAGAAATGCAAAGTTGACCCGACCGGAAGGGCAAAGCCCAAAATTTCAACCCTCCTTCCAACTCGTTCAATTGCTCGAGTCCACGACACGACATCTTTACGTTTTTTTCTTTTCCCGCAAAACTCCTTTTCACCCATCCACGCATCCACACACACACACATACACACAACTCTCGGAGCGCACCGCATTGCCCGTAATGAATCTTGATAATATACGCGACGCCGTTCAGAATATTTCCCTGTACGATGTCAAGGCAGCTGTTCGAAAGGCTCAAAATGGTGAGTTGTTTCACTTTTATCCTTGCAACCCCCCCCCCCCCCTTTTGGCACTGTCGGAGTGCTTTGAGCTCTCGGGAGCTATCCCGGCCCGATTTGATTGCTGATTCTTGTCCTTGATAGTCGTCATGAATTACACCGAGATGGAGGCGAAGGTACGGCTTCCTGGCCAATGTTACGCGGGGATGGGGAGGGGTCAGTGAGGTGATGTATCCTTTGTTTGACACCAACGATAGGTACGGGAGGCAACAAACAACGAACCATGGGGTGCTTCGTCTACGCTCATGCAGGAGATCGCAAATGGCACGTTCAACTAGTGAGTATCTGGCCCCTGCAGAAGCTTGGTGGTTCGCCCAGATGAGAAGCTTAATTCTGGTGCAGCCAGCTCCTGAACGAGATTATGCCCATGGTCTACAAACGATTCACGGAGAAGTCTGCCGAAGAATGGAGGCAGATTTACAAGGTAACTATCACGCCATCTTAGCTCCCGGAAGTGATGGGGGGCTGACTGGTGTAGTCTCTTCAATTGCTTGAATTCCTCGTCAAGAATGGCTCGGAGCAGGTTATTGACGATGCTCGCTCCCACCTCTCGACTATCAAGATGTTGCGCCAATTTCACTTTATAGATATGGCGGGCAAAGATCAGGGGATTAATGTCCGTAATCGTGCTAAAGAGCTTGCCGACCTCCTTTCCGATGTTGAGAAAATCCGTACCGAGCGTAAGAAAGCTCGCAGCAATAAGAACAAATACGGTGGCGTTGAGGGAGGCGCTGGTCAATTCGGCGGTTTCAGCGGAGGCATGAACAGTGGCGGCGGTGACAACGGTTTTGGACGGCGGTACGGCGGGTTCGGCAGTGACAGCATGGAGTATGGGGGTTATTCCGGGGGTGTTTATGGAGATGGCGGCGGGTTTGGGGGCTCTTCTGGGTTCCATGATGACGGATCCGGAAGCTCCAGGGCTGCCTCGAGATCTCAAAAGTTCCAGGAATATGATGAATACGATGACGGCGGTGCTCCTGCTAGCAGACGTTCTGCGCCGCCACGGAGGCAAGCCGAGCCTGTCAAATCCCCACCAAAGAAGGAACCTGAAGTTGATCTATTTTCATTCGGTGAGGAGCCAACACCTGCGAAACCCGCTCCCAGACAGAGCGCCAAGCCGATCTCGAATCCCCTCGATGATGACTTCGGCACTCTTCAATCCGGCGGGGCAGACGATGACGACTTTGACGATTTCCAATCTGCTGGTCCCGCGCCCGCACCAAAAAAACAGCAACCTCTTTCGTTTACCCCTCTCCCTGCTGTTACCGCAAATGCAGCGTCCACCAACCTCGTACAACCCAAGCCTCTGAGCGCTCCCCAGGCGGTTGGCCTAAACGATCTTGTGGGTATTTCCTCCATCTCCCCAGCTCAGTCTGCGTCATCTATGGCATCCCCGCCCGCGATGACGCCTGCGACAACCGGCGGCGGCCTAGGCGGCATGGGGATGGGCACGGGTAACACGGGGGCAATGGGCGGTATGAGCGGAATGACCCCGATGAAGCCCGCAAACGTCTCTTATCAACCCACTCAACCAAACTACTTCACCTCCGTCCCTACTAGTATCAACAACAACAACACCCCCCTCTCACCAGCTTCCACGGGCCCCTCGGCTCAAGCTAAGAAGCCCACTGGCGACGCTTTCGGTTCTTTATGGAATACCGCTGCCAAGGACTTTAAGAAGCCGACGACCCCGAGTAACACTAGTACTCCAAGTCTCCAGGCTATGGCCAAGGAGAAGGCCAGCGCCGGGATTTGGGGTGCTCCAGCTCAGACTTCGCGCCCAGGATCTTCGGCAACGGCTAATAGTGGGAAAACTAGCGGGAGTGCGCTGGATGATTTACTTGGGTAGTTGGCGTTGCCTTTTCTTCTCTCTCTGGTGATGGCAGTGGTAACAGTTTGCACTCTTGGACAGTGGTCTTGAGAATATCCTTGGGCCCTTATCATACTTGCTTGCTTATTGAGTGGCGAGCGGAAAAAGCATTGATTTCGAGAAGAGATAAAGAAGGAGGGTCAGATCCCGGTTTGTGAGAGTTTCTTATTTTTTTTCTTATTTTTTCTTCCTCTTTTCAATTTCCCTAGGGAGGGTATGGTACCGGTACCTTTGCGTTTATTTATTTATTTTTCTTTTCCTACCATAAGTTAGTCTAGTCCTGTCGTGGTACTGTCATGTCTCTCTCTCTCTCTCTCTTACATATAAAATTTAAGTTTCGGTCCTTTATTTCTACCCTGCTCTACAATGAAATAATCATGTAATGCATTTATGGTCCTTGCCGCCCGGGGATGGAGTGAGGCATTTGACGTGACGCGGGGCATCCCCGCGAGAGAAGACCCGCTCACCACGCCGACGGGGCATGCCCGGCCCGGCTCGTAGTGCGGGAAGGTATGATAAGATATGTTATGATATATGGCACGCAACGCACGATACAGTACAGTACTGTACCTACCTCTACCCAGAAGATTAGTCGGTGCCCGAGCGAGAATGAGTGTAAAAAAAAAAAAAATCGCAATTTAGTTTCCATAATACCCATATGCTGAAGACCGGTAACAACCGCACACACCCCCGTCCGCGCTGTACTCGAGTACAGTCAGTCAGGATTGGTCCGGAATGAAGTGGAGAGAGAACATGATGAGCAGGGGAGGAAACCTATTTCGTACAGTTATGGAAACGCTAACCGATGTGACATGGTACAAACCGTCTGTCGAGCCGTTCAACGGTGAAGATCTAGCTTCTATATTCGGAGAGAGAGAAAGAGAGAGAGTGTGTGTGAAAGAGATCCTAGCGCCGATCCGTTGCTTGCCTACCGTACTTGCATGCTTAGAGAAATGTGGCAGCGCTTAGGAACGAACGAGTGATTATTTGTGATGTTTCCTATTCTCATTTTGTGATATTCTTTTTAGCTCGTTATGTACCACAGTGCTTGATGTATGTGCGGTGCGGGTACAGTACTTGGGTGAGTTGGGTTAGTTTGTATCGGATGGTACTGTATCATCATTTTAATGTTGAAAGAAGGAAAGAAGGAAAGGGGGTAGGTATTTATTCGATTCTGCCGTAGTGAGGAATTTCTTTCACTTTTGTTTTTATTTATTTATTTATTTATTTATTTGTTTGTGGGGGTGGTGCGCGTTATTGATTTTTATTACTGTTTACGCTTGGGGGTATATATGGTATGATATGTAGGTATCGTACTCGATATTTGTGTGGTTGGTGTGATGTGATGGGAGTTGCGTGGTGTTTGTATGTTGTATGTGTGCAGGAGTTCTAGCTGCTGTGAGGTTGTCCGGTCGGTGGATGTTTCTATGGAAGACGGTTACCAATCTGTCTATCTCTCCATGAGAGGTATTTAGTATCATGTTTGTAGAAGTGGATGGATGGATGGATGCGGAAAGGGAGTATAAGAGCAGTGGTGATAACGCTGTCAATGGATTGGGGATATTGTGCTGTACCGCTGTTACTGTACTGTACTGCACATGAACATCGGTATGCGGGTTGTGTACTGCACAGTGCTCACTGCTGTTGACGGAATGGGTATGGTACGTGATAAGTTGGTGCACAGTTACACGCCCCTTCTGTGACATTTTAGTGAGAGAGATTGTGTGTGATTGGTATCACGAGTGGAGGCGTGAACTTATTCGCCGCATATTGATGATAACCTCGGACTCTACTTTCGGATTCTGTCATACTTTTTTTTGGTACCGAGTGGTGGTAGTGTTGGTAGCTTTATCTTGTCGGTGGTGATTGGGTTAACGGTTGTGTAGCTGCTATCAGAAAACTCTGTTTCTTTCTTTTCTTGTCTTTTTTTTTATGATACAGGTCTTTCAGGCTTGTATCATGCTTGGAAATATATTTCGGGTTTGGGTAGTAGTCATATGTGATGGTGACCTTTGGCATAAAATTCTGATCAGGAGTGCTTGGGGAGGGGACGGGGGGATGAGCTACTCGAGTAGAGTGGAGTGCGCGACGAGTTCGGGTATGGCATCAAGGTATGATGGACTAGTCTGGGCATTGCCCACAGGTCCCCTGTTTCAAATATTGAACTGAGTTAAATTGGGTTCCATGATGACTCTATTTGGAGATTTTCCATGGTAAACCCTTGAGGGTGTTCTTCCTTGGTCTGGCACGAAGGGTCCACGACACAAATACGAGGGAGGGGAACTTGACGGCTGTCGGCGGGTTTTATAGTGGTGCACTCTACCGTACCGTACCAGTACGCCGTGCGAGTGTCCATAGGTGTGCCACTTAACTACCGGCATCGTGGGTGGCTAGCCCGGGGTGTGCTGGCCTTTGTGTATTCATGAGGTTTTCGTTTTGTGTCCCTATTTAAAAGTCAAGCTATCGCATTGTGTTTTGCGTTTTCAGAGGGGAGAATGATGTGGCATTCCATTTCTGATACCGGTATATAATTGAGGTGGCTGTGGGGTGGGTGATTTTTGGTGAAGGGAGGTTTTGTCCCGCTAGGTCTGCGTGTCCTCTTTTTCTTTGGGGGGGGTTATTGGTCGTGTGATTCCACTGGCCTTCTGGGGGGTATCAACTGCACGACGCTCGTTTCGTTCACATGGGAAATGGGATAATTAGACCCCACGTTAGGACATTTGGATCACCTCTCCAAGCGAAAGCGGGTGGTACCCCTTTTTCTTTATCTCAGTGGAGGGCTGAAGGACAGTTTTTTTTTTCATACTTTTTTTCATCGCTGTCCTTTTCTCCTCCTGTGATAATCGTGATAATCCAAAGGAGGAAAACCGGAGCGTCCCGCCTGAGGTCCAATTGTTCCAGTGTTTACCGGTACGGTATTCGGTTTTCTGTGACGTTCGCTAGACTGAACTTGTCACCTGCTTGACAGCTCTCGTATTGAACGCGCTGTGGTTTCAATTTTTTTGTTTTCCCCCTCTTCATAATTCAACACCTTCTCCGAGATGAATAGATGGATGTTGCAGGCTGCTCGGGAGCCGGAAGTGTTTGGATCTATGTTAACGCAAACCCTACATGAGGCACGTGAGGGCGTTGGAAAAGGCATAAATTAGGTTGCGAGTGCCGGTAATAAATGCACTGTAGAAGAGCAAGAGCTAGAGAGAAGGAGAGAGAAAGCAGAAAGGGATGTTATGTTATGATAGTGGAACGTGGCATGTGGCCGTATCTGATTCTTATCAGTTGCAGATCAGTGAATCGGGGTTGGGGGGAGATCTCGGCACTTGCAGTGCCAACCAACGCCTTTGCCGTGCTCCCGAGATGGGAGGGTTGTTGCGTGTAACCTGTTTTATCTTATCGGGGGTCGGTTATATACGGCTATTTTTAACTCGTTTCCCCACCAAAGTCACCGCATGATCCAACTCTGCCTTTCCGAGCAGAACAAAGAGGAGAGGGAGGCTGGAGAAGAAGAGCTCCTACCGTGCATGATGGGATACAGAGTCATTGCCGGTATGGCACGCGCGCCTATCTATGGTTTTGATCCCCATAGTGTGGTATAGTGCTGTATCATTGTCCTGGTGAGTCTCTTGCCCTTCCCCCATACAATTGATCTGCTTGGTGTATGCGGTGTCCGGAGCACCGGTGGTTTTCCTCTGCCGTACCTACCCTCCGTCCCATTTCTCACGATCCTCCATTTCTGCACTTTCCCTTACGTTCTCACCCTCTCCTCCTCTTCTTGATCTCCTGCACTCTACCCTCATTATTAAACACTCGCTCTGCCTTAACCCCGCCCCCACTTGCACCCTCCACCTCCACCCACCGTGCACACGGTTCTTGCATCGTGTTAAAAGAATTCATGGCCCTTCACCAAACTCGCATGCTTCTGCTCACTCGCACAGTTCCACTCGTGGCTCTTGCAAGACCGCCGGGTGTCCTTAGATTAGCCTCTACCATTTCAACGCCGAGCTCCAATGTTATTAGACCTCCACCGCAGGAAGCTCCGGAGCTCCCCAGGAGTTACCTTATGGCTCCGACTCCCGTCACGACAAGTGATTACCCGTTGGCTCGTCTATCAACCGGTAGTTTGTTTCGTGCAATGCTTCTTCACACCATCACAGCTTCACCCATTCTGCACAAGCTTGGGACTGGGCTGATTACAATGAATCTCAACAACTTGAAGAATGGCGGTTTTTTGAAATGGGGAGTGGACAAGACTTTCTACGTACGCCTGAAAACCCACACAACATGGAACTTTGTTGCTGATGTAGCCAAAAAAAATACATATAGCCCCAGTTCTGTGCTGGGTCCACCTCTGCCGAGATAGCTGCTACCATCTCTGAACTTCGATCTCTTGGTCTTGCGGGTGTCATTCTTGCGTATGCGCGTGAAGCCGAAATCACCGATACCGCCGTGTCACCCGAGAACCAATCGCAACAGATCAAGCAGTGGTTGGATGGCTCGTTGAAGGTGAGTTGGATCGCATGGTTTGGGATTGCCGAGCATGCTCTGAGACAGCAGTATCGTATTCGTAGACAATTGCATGCGTCGAGCCGGGTGATTATGTTGCCATTAAGTACTCTGGCGCAGGTCTCTCCTCGCTTCCGCTACTCAACCAGCACAGGCCTTGCTTTGAATATCCCGAGCTCGGTGATGCGCTTCTGAAGATGTGCGATGCCGCAAAGGCCAAGGGTGTGCAAATCCTTATCGATGCGGAGCAAGCTAGCGTCCAGGACGGCGTGCATGATTGGTCTTTGGTATGTTTTTCCTTTGCCGATTCTGCAGGTTCGGTTTGTCGCGGAATTAGGCGGGAGATTACCGGATCCGGAACAAGATGTTCTCTTGTCAGGGGATCTCGTCTCCACATTCCAGTTCCTGGCAGCGATACAAGGCAGCAAAAGCTAATCTTGTTAAAAAAATAAAAACGATAGAATCTGATGCGTCGTTACAATATCGATGGCAAGGCTGTGATTTACAACACTTATCAGATGTCAGATTATTACTCTTGATATTGTTTATTTCCTGGTATGTGTTATCGCTACTGACTCGGGTGTCCCTATAGGTATCTTAAGGCTTCCCCAGAAATTCTCTGCAGGCATATCAGGATAGCTCACGAGGACAACTTTACACTTGGAGTAAAACTCGTCCGCGGAGCCTACTTGCACACCGATCCTCGCCACCTGATCCATGATACCAAGGAAGACACGGACCGTGCGTATGACGACACAATTAGATTGCTCTTGACTGGCTCTCCGACTCGGGAGCCGGGGCGAGCCTCTTTCTATGACCCGCCCGTGGCCCGTTATCTTCCCGGGGGAATAGGTAGGACCGACCTCGTCGTTGCCTCGCATAATAGGGAATCCGTCGAGTTGGCACTGGCCCTTAGACGACAGCTCGGGTCAAATAGTCGTGTCGGTGAACTTACCTACGCTCAACTCATGGGGATGGCGGACGAACTCTCCCTGGGCCTTCTCTCTAGGAGACCGGATGATGAAGAGATTAAGGTTTACAAGTACGCCGTTTGGGGAACCACCCAAGAGTGCGTCAAGTACCTTGTTAGAAGAGCAGAGGAGAATAAGAGTGCTTTGGGCAGGACCTCTGAAAATAGGGCCGCTTGCATGAAGGAGATATGGAGGAGGATGAGGTTTGTGAAGGCTTAAAGTTGGGCTTCAGTTCTTTTCTGACCTCTTGGTTTCTCTCTTGGCCCCGCATACAATTTTTTATGGGTAACGGGCTGCCATCCCCTCCTCCATTGTGGCTCTTTTCTTGGATTTTTCTTCTCGGGCGATCTGATCTGGTGTATCCTATCACTAGTGCGGGGTTTCCTTGTTTCCCATTTCCATTTCCATCTTTACACATTTGTAGCGAGCATAGTATCATGCATAGTTGGCGTCTAGATTGTATCGCGGCCTTTTCTTCCTTTTCTTTTCTTCTTTTTCATTTGCGATAATATGGTTTGTATTTAGAGTGAGTTTGGAGGTATAACACACTATACTTGATGTTTAGGAAATGGATAATGGTGATGGTGATGAGACCCTGTGTATTTATAATTTATCCAGAATATCTTGCCTGTATGTCCTAGTCATTAGTGATCACTCGAGATGTTCAACCTCACTCTCTCCCCTCTCTAGCCATCTCCACCAACCACTCACCTTGCTAGAATGGGGGAACAAGTCACGTCACCTGGCAAACTTACCTCTCCCTCCACTGGAGAGTCCCCTTCAGCCAACACCCCCACCTAAACATCCACCCCATCGAAGTGAGTGCGAAAAAAAAACAAAAAACAGGACATGACAGGATGCCTAGGTGCCAACCCAACCTAATACCAAAAATTAATCCACAACATTCCATCGCCATCTTGGTAAGACCCGGCGCCCAAACGGAGCGGAATATCATAAGAGTAAAAACGGAAACACGAAAACTACGCCCCACCCAATAAAGTAAAAACTGGGTAAGTGTTGTAACCTACTTCTGGTGGGAAAGGTTCAGTAGTATGATACTCGTATGATAAGAGTTCTTTTTTATTTTTATATATCAATCTTCACCATTGTCTGTATATAAATTTACGGTACTGTACAAACGTGAATGCGAATGGGAGGAACCCGATGCCATCGTGATATCCAGGGGGATAAGTGGGTAGGGAATGTTAAAGCTCTATTCATACATTCCTCATGACGAGTCGAATACCGTAGCCATTGCGACAGCACTGTGCTACTAAGGGCCACAGAATGATTAAGTTGCAAATCATGCCTGGTAAGTAGGTTGAGTTGTACATTTGTAATTATTTTGGACTATTGGCTCAGCTATGATGCTGAGAATGCCTTACATGAGGCTTATGGTGCAGGCAGGGGGGCATTTACATCTGTGAGATATGCTGTGGGCCTAAGGTAAGTCAATTACTACTTAGGTTCTGAAATACACAGTTGACTCTGCTTCTAGAATAGGCTACTAGGGCCTATTAAAAGCAGCTGGTTTGGACTGTTTTGAAAGGTACCTGAATGGTGTTACAAAATAGTGTATCATATATAAACTGGAGAGATACACTCCAACTATTTAGAGATTGTTTCAGTATGAATTTACAAATCTATTATGAGTACACATCTGCAAATAGTATAACTATTATGTGTTTTCATATGGCTATGAGTAGTAATGCTAAGGGTACTGTAGAGATAGAGAGAGTAGTGATATTGAGGGTTTTGTCACAAACTCGACTTAGCGAGGATTAAGATAAGTTAAATTGTTAAAAGATCTCCTTAAGTTTGTTATGCGCTTAAAGGTTGTTTCACGCTTAACTCGCTTCAAGAGTTATGGTTGTTTATGTTTGGATTATTATGTTTGCGCTTGACGACTCACAGTTGTGAGTCACACGATGTTATGAGTTTCGCACATGACTCAAGTTATGAGTCATGGGTTTCACTCGGGTGACGCGAGTTGCGCACCTGATCTTATAGTTTGATTGCGTTTGATTTAAGTACGACTCATAGGAGTCGGATGATGTATTTCACATGATTCACGGTCGTGAGTCAGAGGTTAAGGTGTGACTCATAGTTATCAGTCACCAGGGTTAGGGTTTCTCAAGGGAGGACTATATAAGGAGGAGGACCTAGCTAGTTAGTTAGTTCCTCACGCGTTGTTCTAAGTAACTTTCCTACTTACAAGAATATATCTTTATACCTTTATGTTACGCTAGGCAGATTGAAGAATGCCTACTCACCTATCACTTCACTAAGTGACGAAGACACTATTATCTTCCTCATCGGCGTTACCTGGTCGCAGTCATGGGACTTAACGACATCGGTAATGTAGGCATCGGCCTAAGAACGATGAACGAAGTATTAACGGTCGTCACCTATTAGACCACGAGTACCATGAGAATAATCAAGTACCACCAGTAGGATCGTTACAGGTTTCTAGACCTAAGGGTCAGAGGAGATTGTGATGCCACCTTGAACTTGATTCTGTATTTAGACAGCCTACTCACACCTTTAAGAAACAACAAAGCTTCATACACCTACCAACAAACTTACTCAACAATAACAACAGGTTTGACTTTTCTACTCTGTTATTGATCTTTGAATTGAGATAAATTCTGACAAAGTCTGATTATAGTTATTCTCACAAGATTCTAAAACTCTACTGGTACTAGCCTACAATTTATAAAGTATAATACTTATACTGCTACTAGGTCTTTAATCCTGTATCATTGATGGTTTCATAGAAGATATTTCAGAAGTGAAGCTAATTCTTAAGTGGCAGGTAAGAAGAAACTCTTTCAGTCTCCAATATAAGAATTGACTATAGGTAACAAATAATAGTAATAATTCTAGAACAGAGTAGTTACTCAGTTTGGACTTCAAGTTTACAGATATGGTAAGTTACTACAGCTTTTCAAAAAACTATGAAAATATTATTGTCTTACTCTTAAGTAGTTGCTAATAGTGAGATATAGGAGTATTGCTAGTGGTAAGATTTGTACCTTATTGTTTAACAGGATCTAGCAGTAATAGTTGCTAATACAACCTGAGAGAAGTATATTATTTATAATGCAATCTTCAGACCTCCTCAATAAGCATTCTGAACCTAATGCTTTTGATACCATACTATATAAATACATACTACTTTGCACATCTCTGATCATTTTAGACTTACAACATACTTATTTCCAACCTTTAAGTTATAAACTGGGAGGACCTCTATCAGAAATAGGAGAGTAATGAGTCTTCAATTATTAGTAATTATACTATTTTGATTTCCTAGTTATAGTATGACCTGCTAACTAGTTTTAGAATTGGTTTACACTTAGAGAGAATTATAAGGATTCTCTCTACTAACCTTCTGGCTAGCATGGAATATATATTTTAGGTGCTTAGAGTCAATACAATATATCCTAGTAGGAAAAATAAACTTCTTGTATGGAGGAGGTTTGTACAAATCAGAAACAGGCTTTACTCTAGCAGAAGCTCAGGCTACTAAATTGATAAAAGCTTTATTCTTCAATTGGTACTTTAGGACTTACTACAAAGTTGGATTATAAAGTCTCTGGTCAACCTGGCTGAGGTAAGAATAACTTGTCAAGCTTTCACCCAATGTATTTTGACTCTGTTCTAGGAAAAAGGTATTTTAATATCTATCTTATAACTCAGAAACTACATATTATATATCAAATAACTACTTGCTAGTAGAGTGATTCTGAATACATCATTTTTAATGAAAATAGTATTAGTAAAATAGTTGGTACTAATATTCTATTTAAGTTTGTCAGAAATATTATGAGATTTGAGTTCCTACAAATACAATAATATAGACACAGATTGGTAAGCTAAGAAGAATAATACTAGTAGGTTTACCATACATGCAGCTTCATCAACAAATATGAAGAACCCAAACTAGTAGGTGAAGAACAGAAATGTAATAGTATACTATATAAGTAATTAGAAGGTAAGTGAAATAATAGCTACTTTTTACTAACTACTAATTCTTCCAGCATGCAATTAAATTAAATTAAGGTACTATTCAATCTGCAATTTGGAGTGAAATTGAAAGACTATATACAATTTTTGTATATCTTGGTCCAGTTGCAAGAACCTGTCTGGAATCACTTCTACTACTTTCAACCAACAATTATAGAGATTACCTACAAGTTTATAAGATTTATATGAATCTGGAAATGTATTATATTATTTTTCAACTAAAAGCTAGTTTTAATACTAGTATCAATAGTGTGAATAAAGAGTTATTATACAAAATATCCATCATCATATTATCAACTAATTATAAATCTTACAATTCTAAGTTAATAATAGTTTTATCCTTGAGAGTTTGAGGATAGTATTCCTTAAAGGTACTACCTGATCTCTATTATACTTTTATTAAAATTTAATTATAAAAGTAATTTAACTATAACTCAATATTAACTGTAATATATTTATCCCACAGATTCTAGTATCTAGAATTCAAATATTTTTTGAAATATAAATTTTACATTCTACTTACTTTTTAATAATGCTAGATATATTATAAATTTCTAGTCATGTATGATTTAGGTTTATCACATCCCAGGTAGGTAGTAGTATATTGGACTTCAACTTTTCTCCTCTTTCTACTACCAGGATAAATATTTTTCAAAATAAAACAAACTAAAGTATTATATATATATATATAAAGTAAAAAATTAGAGGAACAAAAGTTGAATAAGGTCCCCTTCACACATAAGATATCAGACTTATACACTAAAATCTTTGACCATTATGATGTTGAAGTCCTCTTTATTCATAATCATATACACAGACCTGTATATATCTTAGGATACAAGTAAAATATGAGTAATATTGAATAGTATATCTGACAGAGTTATTATTATATAGTACAATATAGATCAGTATCCTTATTTTGAATCTAAACTTACCTTAAAATCAAATATATGTTCTATCCTACCAGGCAAGATTTTTACTTGGCCAAGAGGATATTCTATTCATCAATAGGATATCCCCTTGATCAAGCAGGGTACTTACCCAGTAGGATGTCCTCCTTGGCAAGTTGAATTTCGTTTATCCCACTTACAAAGTAAAAAATTTAAACTTTTTTTTCCTGTACCTAACCCTCTGATTTAACTCTATAGTACAATAACAAACTGCCTTGCACTGCTCACACAACCATCTGTTACACATATGAATACACAGACCTTCCCCACGCACAGACCTCCTGAAAACCGCGAGAAATCCACGGCCAACACCCCCCTCCGAGTCCGGCCCCACTGTTGGCCCTGCACGCAGTAATAGAGTCACTGGAATTTGGTGTCCCGACAGTATAAACCAGTTGAAACGAAGCATACTTTATAACACTGTATACGTCGTCACCGTCTGTCTGACCGAAGACTGTTCACAGGATATATAAGGGGGGACCTCAGGCTGTGTCTGACAAGTAGAACGGAGTCAATCGGACGGGTAACCATGGAGCTACAGGCTAAGTGAGATTGACCATCGCAGATATGGATAGAAAGTGTCAGGACAAAATCACCAACAGTCTAATGAGTTATCGGGACATACCCGTATGGACGAGGCACGGGGCCCAGTC